TTATTGGAAAATACCGAAATCCCCGATGTTTCAAGAATGTAAAAACGTATCCTTTGGATTACAAGTCTAACAAAAAGTTTTGGATGACATCAGTTTTATCTGAAGACTATGTGAGAAAATTGGATCGGAAAGTCTTCGCTAAAAAAGGAAAAGTGATACACTTTATGGATAAATGCACAGCGCATAGTGACACAACAGCAAAGTTGCAGCCGATGGACCAGTGCATCATAAAGTGCCTCAAGCAGTCTTATCGTAAATGGCTTGTCAGAAAAATGATCTTAAATATTGTAAGCATTTAGAAGATTTGTAATTAATAATTATTAATTAAATAATGCGACAATATTTTGAAAGTCCAAAACCGAAACTAACGGTAAGTCGAACTTCCGATATGTCGAAGTTTTTCATCAGTCCTATCAGATTCGAGTTATCGCGAATTCACTGTATATATATTCTTGGATTTCCTCTTTTTTACTTTCTGACTACTCTCATCCCTGAATAAATAATTTAGGAATAGTATGGCAAAACATATTTGCATTTTTTTTTCTTTGAAAAATGTATGGAAATATTTTCAGTTATTAAATAGTGTACTTAGAAAAATAATTTATTTTTAAAATAAATCCGAACAAAAGAATTATAAGAATAAAATCAATCCATATTAAGACAAAGAATAAAATTAATCCATATTAAAACAATTATAAAACTTCTGTTTGCAATTTTTTTTTAAAACTTAAAACTCAATTGCTCTACCTACCACTTAACTGTATAAATGAATAATGAAACAAGGTAGAAAACTTTTTAAAATGAAGAAGTAAAAATATTGGATGAAATTCATTGTTTTGGGGCTCATTTTTTGTGTAATTAAATAAGATAAAGAATGTATCTATTAATTGCATTAATTATGATAACTGAAATAACATGGGAATGAGTTTTTATTGAGAAAATTGTCTTTTTTAGTTTAAAATGGAAAACTTGACAACTTTCTGCATGGTTTCCTTAATTTTCAGTTTTGACTGTTTTATTACTAACTTTCTTAATATTTTTTTATTTGATTTAAAAGGACATTTCAGTCTATTGTTAATTATAATTGTTAACCAAGAAGTTATATCTCATTGTTTCTGGTTTTATAAGATCCGGACATTCTATTTGACGATCAAGACAAGTACTTAGAAGCAGCTCTAAAGTATGAACCAGGGACATTTGGTTGTCCTGTTGTGTGGGTTACTCATTTTAAATTGCATCCTAGATTGACATCGGGACCAGCCAATAGCTCTAAATCATGGGGTAGGTAGCCTTTTTTTTCTTCTTCTCTTTTTTCAACTGAAATTAGTATTATTTTTTAAAAAAGGTAACTCCACATCAAAATATTTAAAAATCTTACTTTTTACAGTCTAAAATTAGAGATTTTTCAGTATATCATGAATGCATTCTTATTTCAGGAAAAACTCATCATGTATTTCATTTTATACAATATACTAATGCTCATCTATAGGTTTTTTCTTAATGGGAATCTGTTAGAAAGCACCAAAATTACTCCAAATTTTGAGTTTGTTTAATTTTGAACAATTTGACTAAACACATGAGTGTTACATGTTAGAAACTATTTTTTATCAGATAACACTACAAAGAACATATATATTTCCTATTTTTACTAAATGGATATTATTGTATGTGCTGTAATAATTATAAATATTAAGTAATTATGAAATAATTTTTGTGAGTAATGACAAAAGTAGTTTTAGTATTTGGAAATTCAAATATTAATGAAAAGCTTTATTTAAATTTATTTAAAAAAAATGTTCTTAACCTCTGAGAAAAAGCAGAGACTTTAGGATTCTTGTGTTCACAATTGGATTAGAGGTAATTGATTTGTAGGAATCAGTATTGTTTCCTATGTCCATGCATTACTTATTATTAAAACAAAGTACTTAAGATATTATGATGTTATATGCTTACAAATATTACTGTTTATTTAGATAGTAACATCAACCAAGTTATTTGATTTTAGTATTTTTCTGCAATAGAATGTATTGAAAAAATACAACTTTCATTTATATTTTTACTGTGTATTGTAAAATAAAAAACCAAGATTAAGTGTTAAGAATTAAAAAATGATCCTTATTGTTATGAAATGTTGCACTAAAATGTTTCTGAGCTAAAATTTATTTATGCAAAGAAGGAATCTACAAATAAAGTCAATCATAAAGAAAGGAAATGTAAGTGAATAACTCGTTTTATATTTATATCTTTATAAAACTGATTAACTTCAAGAAAGATAGGCTGATATGTTTAATAATCAATGTAGTTTTTTTTCTCTGTAATTAAAGCATTTTTAAATGTGAATTTTGAACAAAATTTATCAAAATTAGGTGGTAACGAAAGAGTTGAAACTTTTTTCAAGAGTCAATATATTATTAGGGGGACTGGGAAGTAATACCATTTTCGTGCATTTGATATTTGTTATCAAGATAATTTATTTTTAATTTATAATGTATTCATCCTCGCTGGCAACAACCTTTCAATGCTGGATCAAAAATGGATTGAAAAAAAATGAATTGGTTTTTAAGACTAACGTATATTTAATGGGCCAAAATGGCATTACTTTCTGGTCCCCCTAATACTTACAGAAAGTTTTTTTTTATTGAGATTTTGTGTTGGGGTAAAGTTGTTTATTTTCTCTTTGGCAGTTCCCATATTCCTAATACTTTGTTATGTAGTAGTCTTTGCACTAATTTTTTATATTTTCTTGCTTTGCGCTAATTTTTATATTTTATAGATTTTTTTAAACTTTGCATTTATTTTTTATATTTTCAAACAAAAATAACTATTGATAATAAAGTTGTAAACATTAAATAGAGTAATTTATATAAGTGAAGACCCATCCATTTATAAGTAGTTTTTCTTAAGTAATAGATTTAAAAATTTATATGCAGTAGGAGGAGCGATTTGACTCTCTATAGAGTCAAATCTCCCAAATCTCAAGTTTGAATGTATTACTAGTTTAGTAACCTGCAGTTTATGGAAATAGAGAGAATTATTATATTTCAAGACATTTAATTGTTTTCAAATGAAATTTTAAGTTAAATATTATGAAACCTCAATTTAATGAAATCTGCTAAACAAGTATTATAGAATTAAAATTTTAAAAAGTTTATTTGATATTGAATAATTGTTATGTAATTGCTTGTGCTTAAAATTTCAACAATTATACATAGAAAAATGATGTGTTCATCTTTTGCCTTTATGAAATTAGTATTAATAAGGTTATTGCATTAACGTAACATTTTCAGACACTGAAAAATTTAGTAATATGCTTTATTTTTATCCCATTATTTTTATTGGTATAATTAGAAATATTAATTATACATTAGCAATAAATATTTCTTTATTTTTGGAAAATCATTTTAATTCAGGATCTAAAAATCTTAATAAATTTTTTAATTACATTTTAGGTATGCAAGCACTTAGATCAGTGCTGAGTACATTTGCAGTAAATAACAGAGAGAACATGTTTGTGTATCAAGACAATTTAGGAACTGTGTTTTATTTAAGGTAATTTATTGTTTTAAAGGTAAAACTGTACAATATTAACGAGTAAAAATAATGAATCACTTAACTACTATAACTGAGAGAAACAATTTAAAAAATGCAAATAAAAAAGGAGAAAGACAAACATCTGTTTCCGTATTTTCAACAAGTACCAGTCTCAATGGTCTGTACTTATTCAAAAGACCCATTTACACTTAACGTGCTTACAATGTTACCTTTTTCTGGAATATAATTGTGTCGAAAAATAACATTGGAAGACAAAAATAAAAAACGAAAAGACTCCCCAAGACAAAATTCTTGATGATACCATCAAAAAATTTGATGGTATATGTCAGTTTCTAATAAGATTTTTGATGGTCACCATCATACAACAATTTCCATCAAATTTTGATGATTCAACAAACTTTCATCATTTCAAAATAGAAAATGTTGCTTTAGTGCTATGATGGTAAACTATTAAGTAATGTTGATTTTTGATGAACTAATATCACCCATCATACTTTGATGGAAAATATTTTACCAATATAATGGTCAACCAGAAAGTTTTGTTTCTTAATGTTAGACCAACAATAACCATCAAAATAGGATGGAAGATGTTGTCTGGTCATTGTTGTAGTATAAACATAATAGTATGTTTATATTTTTTGGACCAACAAAGGCCATTAAAATATGACGAAAGATAATGCATAATACTATAATAATGGTTAGCTAGCATGTTATATGTATTATTACAACTAATATCAAAATATGAGGAAATATGTTTTACCATCATGCATATTTTATTATATATCGTAACCGCCGTTGAATAGCCGACTCCATTTTGGGTTTATTATTCTCTCAACTCTGTAGCCTTGTAATTTTGAGCCCAACCCAGAAGACTAGGGAAGTCTTGGATAAGGCATTGGGACGAACTTGCCTTAATAGAATGCTTTTCGATGGGACTAACCTGCATTTGCGTTATATGAAGAGGAAAACCACAGCTGTTATCCTAATGACAAGGGGATTCTAACCCATGATCTGTCTAACACTGAAAATAATTTAAGTCAGCCCTGTAGTCAGTTCAGTCAAGAGCAGAATTTGCATCAACCAGCCACTGCCGAGATTCAAACCTGGGTCAACTCATTGGAAGGCGAACACTCTATTTCCTGAGCCACTCCAGCTCAGTTATAAATGTATGGTCCATTTACAATAAGAGTTTAAAAATAAATATTCTTTGCAATTAATAACAAAAAGGTGAATTTTAGGAACTTAATACAATAAAACTGCTAATTCGAATTCATAAAATTTAGAAAGATTTATGCATATACATAGTCTGTTTTTCGTGAAATAACACTTTTCTGCTAACAATGGGATATTTTCTTAACCCAAGTTTGTGCAGGTATTCACAAAACATCAATATGAAAATTTCGGTTTTGTAAAAATGAAAAGCGTTGTGATGTAATTTTTTTTTTAAATTGAAAAAGTTACTTCAACACTGCATTATTTAGGTTCAAAAAACTTAACATAATTATTTGAAATTATTTAATGATTTTTATAAAACTGATTGATTTTGAACATCATATGAAAAATGTGGTGATTTTGAATGTGGGAAAATCTTCCCAAATTGGGGATTTTTAAAATAGTTTCATTATAACTCTTAAAATATTTAAGTCATTTGTCCATTCTAAGGTCCAGATAAATCTTAAGAATATGAGGAAATATATAGTTTACAATTGTAGCTTTGCCTCAAGTGTAGACCACTTAATTTTTATTTTTATTTTCTTGATTAAAATCTTTGTAAAACCTTTGTTAACATTATAAACAAATATTATTATTAGTTATCTATTTATACAAGAACTTTAAGATTTATCTAAGAATATTAGAATAGTTAAAAACACAATTAATAAATTTTAAACTAGACTGCTGTCTTCAAATAAATTTTTTTTTTATCTGGAAATGAGATAACGTAATAGAAATGGAAACAACTTCAAAATTTAAGTTAATTTAAAGTAGTTTAATTTTTTGAAAAAAAATGCCCACCATTTAATATTGTAGCAGTTAGTGCAGTTTTTAAATTTTTTAGAGTCAAGTGAAAAATAAATGTGTTAACTGGTATATTATTTACTAAATTGTGTCTTTATAAGATTTTTGTTAACTAAGTTTGCAGTAAAAGATGTCTAAGTTAAATAGGAATTCATTAAAAATCATTTTAAATATAAAAATCTAAACAATATGTTATTATATGGTTTTGAAAATATCATTTTTTATGTTATGAAACTAGTCTATTTCTAAAAGTTTAAATATGATTTTAAATGAATAAATGCTAGACTGAAGATTCAAATTTCAGTGTATTACATATTTATCATGTTAAACAAAAAATTTAAAAAATTAAAATTTTTTAAAAGTTTGAGATCTTTTTATAAAAACTTTGGCAAAATAAACTACTTTTTAACAACTTCGTTTCTTTTCTTTTTTGAGAATTTAATGTTTTTTATTCAGATTATAAACAAAAATTTTATGGATCTTCAAAAAATCTTTAAAGTATTTTCTATAAAGAAAATTTAACGTTACAACTGTGTTAATTTTTTCTTAATATTTCTTAGACTGTATGAAGAAACTTGTGATGAAATTCATCACTCTGATGTCTCCAAAACAGAACATAATATTTCCTTAACTGGTGAGAATGCTTTTTGTTTTTATTTTATTCCAAAATTGCATTTGAGAAACAAGTGTTTGCAAAACAGCTGTATTGAATTGCAATATAAACTGGGACAAAGTCTGTTATTGTTCAAGCTCTTTCTGATGAAAAAGAGTTAACTTTGATTTTTCACTCTTGAGTTGAATGTTTAATTACTTAAAATATTTTTGACTTGTTTATTAGAAAAAAAAATATTTATTTATTTAGGATCTTGCTCATCTTTACCATGCTTAATTCCCAAGAAAACTGCAGAATGTGATCCTGAGGTATTTTTAATCTTTATTTAATTTTCTTATTAACTATGATCACACCAATCCGATTAGCTTATCAAATCTGATTGATATGTTAATAACATTTGAACAGTCTGTTTCATTAATTTTTTAAAGCTAGTGTTAACCTTCTAAGATAAGGGTATGTCTAAAAAGAGGTCTTATCACCTCTGTACTTATAAATTATTTTTCTTCTTAAGATAACTGGCACTGAATTACACATGACAACCCTAGTGTTACTACAACCAACGGATAGGAGTGTCCTACATTAGACAAACTGAAATTGATTTTTCAGATTTTTTTTCCTCTATGAAAGTTAATATAAATTCTAAAATGATATAAATTGGAAAAGAAATTAAAGGTTTCAACTTATAATTGAAGAAAAAAAACACATTTCAAAACTGACACTGCATTATGTAACTTGGCAACCCTAGTATTACTGCAACAAATTAATTAAAATGTCCTTCATATGACTAACTGAAATTCCCTTTCTAAATTTTTTTTCCACAACAAAAATATTGATTCTGAATTCTAAAGTGATATAGATTAAGAAAACAACAAAATGTTTTAGCTCATAATTGAAGGGAAAAAAATATTTCAAAACTGGCAAAATTTTATGTAAAACATTGAAAATTATAGCTCTCTCTCTTGTATTTATATTTTTTATTCTTCAGAATTTCTAATAATGATTCTAAAAATTTTAAAACCAATTAACATGAGAAATTAAAAAAAATACTAGTATATTGGTCATTATCTCTGTACTTGTCTCTGTTATGAAGGTCATGGTCTTCCTCAAAAGACCTGGGAAGTTGGGGATGTTAAAAGCGCTAAGCAATTTTTCTCTGGTGGCTATCTCAGAAATGGTGGAGAAAGTATGTAGTGGGGTTAGAAATTTTTTTTTGGGGTTGATGTTTGTTATGTAAATACAGTAGAAGATCTTTATAATGGTAACCTTGAAATCTAAGGCTTTGCTTTTTTATGATATTTTGTGTTACTTGACGGAACCCATCATTTCACCCATCTTTAAACTGACCTACTAAATATAGCACTATTAGTCTGAAACAGATTACTCTTAAAATGATTTAAAATAATTTTTACATGCAAATGCTTAAAGAAATATATGTATGCACTTAAGTATTTATTATTTATAGGAAAAAATTTATATTTTTTATAACATGAGAACTAATAACAAACAAATTAATCAATTTTCGTGTGCTTAGTTTTTGAAATTTGCTTGACAAATCCCCTTTTTTTTCTTTATTGTTTAAAAATCTACAATAATTTATTTTTATTTGCATATCTAATGCTACTATTCTGTTTTTCTTTATGTATTTTAATTGTATTTAATTTTATTTTTAAAATATAAACTAACATTGGTTATTTTAATTATACATATGAAAACTTACGAAATCCAAGTATCTTACGAACTGATTTTAATGTTTGTTTAGGATTTCCGCCCAAGAGTGAATTCTGGAGCTTCAGATGGCTATCGTCAAGACTCTATTTCCACTACATCTGTATCAAAAAAAGTACAAAAATGTGTTACTCTTCGTGTTCATGGCATTGGGGAAGTTGGTAAGAAAAGTATTTTACTTTGACTCTAATGGAATTCAGATAGCAATTTATATTTATATCTTATCTAACATTTTAATTGTCTTCTGCTCTGTGTATTACAATGTTTGCTTGTGCTTATAGCAGTTAAATTTATACTTTCCTTCTAGTTTACATTTATCATAGTACCATGATCTACATTAATAATAAAGTTAATAAGTTTTAAAAGTCAGAGTTCTTGGCAAGTTTCTTGAATGTTCTAAAAATATAGTCTTTTTCAATCGACTAACCGTTTTCTTTTTTATATAAGTACAGAAAAATGTAATTTTTTCCAGGAGGGATTGATGTTTTCATTCTACTCTTTTTTTTCATAGTAATTGTGGGAACTATTGATCTAACTGGAAAATGTAAAACTATTTATCTAGTTAAAGAGTGTGTGAAAGATAAGGAATGTTAAAAGTGGAAAGGAAAAAAAAAGAAAGTGTGAATTGAAATTATGAAGTAATTAATGAAATTATGAAACTATTGACTAATTGGTTACATTATTTTTAAGTTTAAATCTAAATTAAAATATTTTTTAGTTTCACTTTTTTTCTAGCTACATTTTAAAATAAGAATGGAAACACATTTCTGAAATTTATCTTTCAAATTGATGTCTGGTTTAATTGCTCACCAAAAATTAATTAATTAAATTTAATTGCTTATCAGAATCTCTTAAGTTCTGAAGTCTACAATGAATTCTTTTATTGTGATTTTTTTATTTACTTAATTTTTATTTCAATGAATAACATTTTCTACATTCTAAATGTTATCTTCTTTTAGATCATAGAAATTTAGATTTTTCCTCTTTCATACAAACTGTTAAAAATATTTTTTTCATTTCTTCTCTAACTTAGTGGTGTGAAATAATCTGAAATGCCAAATATATTCCCCTCAAAATTTTGGAAAATTCACTGCATTTTTTTAAATATAATAAGATATTTTAAAGCAAAATTTAGCAAAATAACATTGCCATTATACTGATTCCTCATAAAATATGAAATAAACATAGAGCAGATTTACACAAAAGTGATTCAATTGTGATAATCCCGATTTTGAAATTCCATTGTCTTGCCTTGTCAGTTTTATTCAAAATTAGAAACTTAAGTGTTAGTTTTCAATTAAACTGTAAATTTACATAAATGTACTAATTCTTTATTTATCCCAGTGTAGAAAATTCTTTATATTAAAAAATATTATTAGTTTAATTAGAAAGGTTATAGTTTTTGATCTTGCCAGTTTCACAGAATCTAATAATTTTCTTTGTAGTTAAAATTAAAAATATTGATATCAATTTAACTTAATGTAATAGGGTAGTGATAATAAGCATATTTTAAAAATGAAGTATTTTGGAGAATTTTTTCTTTTGAAATAAATTTTCCCGTTTAGAAGCTTAAACTATATATATATATATGCATATATATATATATGCATATATATATATATAGTTTAAGCTTCTAAACGGGAAAATTTATTTCAAAAGAAAAAATTCTCCAAAATACTTCATTTTTAAAATATGCTTATTATCACTACCCTATTACATTAAGTTAAATTGATATCAATATTTTTAATTTNTATATATATATATTTGATGTTTGATATTTTTAGAACATGTAGGAAGGAAAATATACCACTGGTTAATTTGTGTTTAACAAATTTTGTGGCAGTTTTTTTTAAAAATAAATTTCAATTTGTGCAATTGTAAAATATTCAAATATTTGTGTCCTATATGAAACTAAATATTGTTTTTAGCATTCTATGGCAGTCCTAATATTTATAGGAATCTAACTAATACTTATTTAAATAATGTGAGAAATTTATGCAGTTTTCACTTGCCGGTTTGCATGCTAGTGTCGTTCTGAGCTATGTCACAGTTGGCCAAATAAACGAAAAAATTAACTAAAGTCAGTATATTTAATTCAGGTTCTACTATAAAAAATGATCTCGTAAAAGTTCTACAAAATCGCTTGGATGAAGGTGTGCTAGATATAATGAATATGATGTTGTCACGAAATCCATTGTGTATGTTAAGTACCGAAGATGTCCAGGTAAGTAGTTAATTATATTGTAGTCATGAAACTATTTGTCTCTAACATTTTAGTTACCTGTTTAATTGATGTGATGCTATACTGTTTCTAATCGGATATTGTTTATTTTTAGTTTATACAAAATCCAAGCAGCACACCAACTTATGAGCTGTATTTTACTTTACCAGTGAAGCTTTTAGGCCATACCCATTCTATTCAAATATATTTGCGCCAGAACTTACTTCATTTTCTCCATAATCCTAAGTATCATGATAGCAGGAAAGAAACTCATTTCAAAGTAAGTAATATTAATTTCAGTCAGCTTTATTGTAGATGTAATTCTGCTATGTACTTTATGTTTAGCATAGTTATTTATTATATTTAAAAGTGGTTTTATGAAAGGTTTATTTTATTAACCTTTTGGCACAGATGGGTCACCTGCTAAAAAGCAGTTCATGTTAAAAAGCAGTCCGAAAGTTACTAAAAATCTGTTGGTTTTCAGAATTATATTTGCACTAAAATAATTCATAAAACGTAGTTTGAAAATTTTTTTTCATGCATATCCAAAAATTTATCAATAGTTTATTTTTTTAATAAAAGAAATTTCAATGATGAATAATTGTTTCTCTTAGATATAAATAACAAGTGAGTGCAAATTTGAAAAATTATTGTTTGGAAGTGAACTGTGTTTGGAAAATTTTACCTTTAATGCTGAAAAAGATAAAAGTGTTTCATGCTATGTTTTATAACTATAAATTATTAAAATACGAAATATTATATTTTTCACATATTTTAACCCAAATTAATACAAAGAAAATGGAAAAAATATGAAAAATATGTTTAATAAAAATTCTGCTTCAAAGGGTTAAAGATGTATTTTTGTTGGTGACTTTTCTAGCTGATAAAACCAATTCTATAAAAAAGAATACAGATAACGTTATATTTTTTGTCATATGTATTAAACATGCATAATTTTTCTTAGAGGCTACAAAGCACAGTAAATTAAGTGTTTCGTTTTTTTCTATACTTCTACTTGACCATTTGTGCTTATGCTCAGTTGTGACCATGATGATTTTTTTAACTTTTGAAGTGTAGCAGATTGAATTTTTTTTTTTTGCATGTTATTAGTCTAGGACTAGTACTGAAATAGACAGTTTAAAGTATCTCTTAGTTAGGAGTATCATTTAGTCCTCTCTATCGGATAGGATATGAGAATAAATCAGTTACAAAATTGTAGAATAGTCTCAATTTAGTGCAAAAATATTTTGTTTACAATATTGTTGAGAAATGATTCTATGTTAAATGTGTTTTAGTGAGTTAACCCTTTGATGCAGATGGGTTCCTTTTATATATATATTTTTTTGATTACAAGTGAAAATATATTTTGGTATTTTTTAATTATTGAGACTAATCTAATAGTTGCAAAAAATCTGCTAGTTTATCAGAATTATATTTCTAAAAAAATATAAAATCCAAAAAAGGTAGTTTAAAATTTTTTCTTTTCCTTCATATTCAAAAATTTATTGATAATTAATTTTACAAATTAAAGTAATTTCAATGATAAATAACTGTTTCTTTCAGACCTAAATACCTGCAATTGAAAAATTATTGTTTGGAAGTGAGCCATGTTTAAACAAGTGTACCCTCATTGCAAAAATAGACACTGGTGTTTCATACTGTATTTCATAACTATAAGTTATTAAATTGCTAAATATGATATTTTTCTCTTATTTTGACCTAAATTAATAAAAAATAATGAAAATGTATGAAAAATATATTTAATAAAAAATCTGCATCAAAAGGTTAATGTTGAGTTGCGTATGGTAGATTTATGGGGCTATTAGTTTTTAAAGTTAAAAACACTGTTTTTTTTTTAAAAATCTGCCTCAGAACATAAGAGGTATTGAGAAAAAAAAGGAGAAAAGAAATGGTATCAAAATGTTACTTGTCTAGATAGATTTTTTAATGTTACTAGTTCAAAAATAAATTAATTTTAAATTAAACATTCCTAAGGAACTTAAAACACAATTGATACTCTTAAAAATAATTTTCTTTGAGATGCGTTATATTTATCAGCTTCATAGTAATAAGTGTCTGTAAAAGAAAATAAATATGCATATTTTTTTTTGTGATGCACCCCATACCTTAATTTAAAATAATTTCTTAAAATATCAGTACATTAGAACATACACCGAAGAGCCATTACATTGTGACCACCCTGCTAATAACATGTAGGACCACCTTTAGCCCTCAAAACTGCTAGCACCCGCCGTGGCATTGATTCTACAAGGTGCTGATAGATAGTCTGAGGTATCTGGTACCAAGCACTCACCAACTGGTCCTGCAATTCCCTCACATTGTGAGGGGGTAGCGTGGCAGCACGAATTTGGTTTTCCAAGTAGGACCACAAATGCTCTATTGGATTAAGGTCAGGTGAATTTGGGGGCCAGGACATGACTTGAAAGTCAATGTTCCTCGAACCAATTCATGACGATTCGACCTTTATGACATGGTCCATTATCCTGTTGGTAAATACCATCATCCGCAGGAAAAACTGTTGCCGTGAATGGGTGAACTATGTTCAAGTAGCTTACAGACGTCAGGGATTGCTCCTTGAGGATTATGGGTCCTAATGTGCCCCATGAAAACATAGTTCCTGGGCGAGAAACCATGAAAACCTGGACGAGCCCATTGTTATAGATCGAGGGTGGTCATAATGTAATGACTCTTCAGTGTATATGTGAGTAGGAAACTTGACGTTACAATCATTACAGCAATATAAATTTATTTTGTTTACATGTACTTAACCTACTCGTTATGAAATTTTTTAATAGATTTTTCATAATGGTCAATTTGCAAAGGATTTTAGTTGGTTTTAAATTCCGACCAGAGAAATTATGAAACATTATAATACAGAAAATTTTCAAAAATATTTTTACAACATACGAATGCCATAGAATAGCATCTAATTACATTCCTAAACAAATTTGACTTATTTCCGGGTTCACCATACAAGATATACACATGGCCAAATTACAAAGATTGTTAATTATATAGGACAAATTTTGTTCTTAATAATAGTAGTCAACTTGGCAGGTTTCGCTGTACATATTTATATTTTTTGTAAGCATTGTACATTTACTACACGTTTCACCTTTGTAAAAGTACATGAAAACAAGAACGAAAAATGAATAATCTTTTGGCACAGTTCAGAATAGACAGGGTTTTTGTAAAAGGTATCAAAAATGATTTTATTTTAGCAGGAACAAAATAGTAAATCAGCTTTAATAAATCTTCACAAAGAAATACCATTAAAAAGTTTCCACTAAAGATGAATCTAGTAACAGTTGAATAACGAAACCCAAACATGAGCTTCAATTGAGTATTCAATTGACTAGTAATCACTTTCTGCTATTTTACAAGACAAAATTATTCGAAATTTTTTTTTTATTCCAGCCTCTATCTGTGTTTTCAAGTTGTAGCACCTAACAAAGAGCTTTAACGAATTTTTAAAGTGTTGAAATTAAAAAATGGTTTTCGTGTTAAAAATATGAAATAAAGGAGAGGGAAAAAAAGTTTAGAACAAAATGACAATTCATTGGCAAACCAAAATGTAGCATTATATATCAGGAAAAAAAAAGTGTTGATTATTTTCCAGGATATTTTACCACTGATAATACTGTATTTTAGTATTATATTGTTGCTCTTATTTTACTACTTTTTGCTCTGGAAAACGATGTTTTCCATTTCAGTTTCAACATCTCATTATTGTATAAGCTTTCTTTCTTACACTTAGTTAATGCTCTACAACTAAGTAGATAATTTTTTCTACAAAATGGTATAATTTACGACTTAGATATATACTAATTAGGAATATTACCACTAGATGATACTATAATTAAACGCTCTCACCTAGTTTCTCATGACCATTTTGTTACAACTAGATGCTAATCTTATGATCATAGCTGTTATTGTTAAGAAGTTGAAAGAATTAAAGCTTAACTGTTGAAATGCAAGATTTATAAGTGTATATAAGAACATATTTTTAGCTAATTTTTTTATTCTCCTTTTGATAATATTGAATACTTTGCTGTTACTAAATTATTCTTAACATTCCTACAGGCTTATTGGCATGCAGTGGAAGAATGGGGTTTAGTTGATGATAACGATGTGTTCTTGTATCATTCTCAGCAAGCTTCTGGTCATGCTGGGGGAAAAGGTTTGTAAGCCTAGAAGTGAAGAAATTAATTTCAGTATTAATTTATCAAGAGTATAATAGATTTTTACTTATGTTTAGTGCTTGCTAGAGGCTTTTATCCGGTATCTAAAGTACCTGGAAAATTTTTGCTCCCTCTATTTTGAAATAGAACAATTGCGGTAAAATATGGAAATTCTAGTCATCCTTCAGGGAAAGGAGTGGTAGTCTTAGATTATAGAAGGTAAAATGCATTACTCATGCTTAATAGGGGTGAACAGAAGTGTAAGGGTAATAAAAAAAAAACACTTTGTAAATATAATAAAGTAAAACTCCATGATAGAGGTGTTCTAACAAAACCAAGATAAGAAGCACCTATAGTTTATGCTTAAAATCCCGTAACATCACCTAATATCAATAATACATGTATTGGTGAGTTTGCAAACTGAATGCCATAAAAGAATGTGCTGTGCCCAATCGAAAAGCCAGCTTTTGTCCATCCAATTCTCGATGCTTGAAAGTCAAATGGAATGACATAATCACAAGGAAAGTGCAACTATGCAAATTAGCTAAATAAATTCTCCTCAAATCAGTCCCTGTCAGATTGATTACAGGGTAGAATGGAGAAATTTAGACCATTTATTTTTTTTTATTTATGTACCTTTTCCTTTATTTTTGAAAACAAAATCAACATCTCAGAAACAAAATTTGATGAGATGAACAATTTCATTTTCAGCTTTGATTTATGAGGAGGAAATATCAACAAGAAGGTGGTAGAGAAATTTTAGAAAAATGCATTCCTATACTTTAATATATAAACATAATAAAATAAAAAGAGTGAAGTGAAAATAAAATTTTTAATTAGAATTCTAAAATCACTGAAATACCGCTATTTTTTATTCAATTTTTAAGTAGGAATATAGTTAAGCTGTATTCAATTATTTTTTAGCTATCTAGAAATTCAGACATCCGGGATAGCGATGACCCCCAACTTTCTCGATAGTTAGCTCTCTACTGTATTTTTTTACTTTTGTTATACAAGGTTTAAAGGATCTCAAGAAGTTGTAAGACTGGATCTATATCCCGAAAGCAATAATGAATTAAAAACACAGACATATTCATGTGCAGGGAGAGACTTGCGGCAAGTAGCAAACATCATAATGAACTGCTGTAAATTATTCTTTGACATGCAGTGGAATAGCTCATGTTACGAAATTTGCTCCAGAAATTAGATTGTGGATAGAAATTGGTAAACATCCTCAGAAACTTGTACATTTGAACAGTATGTTAAACAGACATCAGCTGCAATTTCAAACATGGTTTAGTTATATGGTTAGGTCAGATAGGCTTAACCTTTTTGGTTGTGAAAGTCATGCATAATGAGCCTTCAGTTCAACACTAAACAAATGTGATACTGACAAAAGGATACTGCAATTGATGCTTTTCAGAGATCGCGGATCGATATCAGAGGAATTTATTCACAAATATTTGGGTAAATGCAACATCTTTTCCCATTTTGTGACATACTCATTTTTTGTAACATCTGCTCTTTTAACGACCACAAAAGAATCCTTCATTTTACTGTCTCATTTCATTAATTTTTTTGGAGAAATTTGATTGTGTAAAGAAAATAAAGCCGGAATGAAGCATAAAAGTAAAAAAATGGACATACTATGTACTTTCATTTGTGCTCTATTCACATTGTTTTTTTTTTTTTTTTTTTTTTTTTTTTTTTTCCTTAGCCTATATTGCACTAAGTTTTCTCTATCCTTTCTTGAAGTATATAGTGGCTAACAGAAATTTTTAAGATAAATAATGTTCTTTTTCTCTCATAATGTTCATACTGTATTTCATGCATTTTAGACACACCTTGAATATATTGATACTGTTGAAATTTTTGTGAGACGTTGTACTTTCCATCTCCATGTAGTTTATAAAGTTTTGTTTTATACTTGCACAACAGAAATTATTTTGTGCATAATTTTTTGATCTAATTGCACATTTAAACTATTAAAAATATGTCAGAAAAAAGATGTTTCAATAGATTACTAGGAGTTATCATAAAAAGATGACTTAGTGAATCTGACTTTTCTACAGTGAAAATATACTTCTTAATAGTAAATCTTCATTTATGAAATGTTAATTTTGGAGATTTGCTTCAGATTCTTATGGGTCTCTCATATAATTGTCGGGGGATTTATTTTAGAAAAAAAGTCTAGAAATAATGCATTTTTCAGCCAAATCCTGGAAAAAAATCTTTCAAAAGCCTCGAAAGTCCATGATAGCAATTAGTAAACTAATGAGGTTTGAAGTATATTAGTCTGATATCTGTTATTTTTTGTAAAAATTATATTACAATATGGTTATTTATTTATTTTAGATTTATTAAAATTAGCACATGATTTTTTTATTTTATCACTGTCTTGTTTCAAATTTTTTCTTAAATGTTTTTCACTAATATTATGTTTTAAAAATTAAGCTTACTATATAAATTAATTTTCATTATTATTCACAAATAAGATTTATGATGGATGGCAATGTGATTCTATTAATAAACTGCGATACATTGAGTGTGTGCAAAATATTGCTATTTTTCTCTATAAATTATATCCTTGTGTAGAAAATATTTTTATTAAACTGTTGCCTAGTCAAAATGGTTTTTAATAAATGTAATACTTAACATATTTTCTATCAAGGAAAATTTTGTTGCTTTTTGAGTAAAAAATATTTTACTTCTGATAAAATATTGCTCTGTATAGCAATATTTCATCAATATAGCAATATTTTATCAATAATATTATATCATTATAGCAATATGTGCATTTAATCTGTAATTTTATTGAAATTTTCATGTAAAATTCAAAAAAATCAGTTAATTTTATTTCTAACATTAAGTGAAAATGCTGGTTGCTTACTAATTTACATGTTAGTTAATTGATGTGTTTTATTTTGGTTTTATAAAAAAATAATAATTAAAAATATTTTTAATAAGGACTTAGCTAAAAAATCTGCAAAACTGATATTAAAACAGCTATTGCAAAATTTTTAATGCATAAAAGATAATACTTTTTTTTTTAAATTTTTGATATTTGAAACAAATGTAATTTCTTATAATATTTAATTTTACATGATGCCATTATAGGTATTGCATGTGTAGTTCTTTCCCTTGTTACTGGACAAGGGCAACCATTTAACTATGTGAATAACATTCCACCAAATCCTATGGCTTACCAAGATGGCTTGTCAGAGACTGAATTTGAAGACCTAACTTCAACTTCCAGTTATATTTTGAAACAAGATAAATCCCCAGGTGATTTAATTATAAAGTTATCATAATTCTTTGCCTTATGTATTGTATTTTTTAAAATGCTAGTGCATTCTTTGATAAATTTTATATTTTAAATGAATATATACAGTTAAATCGACCTTACCACTCTTCCTTACCTTACTCCGTCCTTATCACTACTCTGCTTAGTAACTTGAATATTAATCTTGTGAATTATTATGTATATTTGTGGATTATTATATATATTTGTGAATTATTATATATATTTTGTATCTAAGCATTTAGCTTATGCATTAAAATCTTCAAACTCCTAGCAGATGTTTAGGCATCATGTTGCAAAATTTGTGATTATCAAATAATCAAACTAACTGTTTTTATCAAAATCATAATTTTTACTTATTAAATGCAATGCAAATCTATGTTGTTTGGAGTTCATATGACCAATTTATGTGTACTACTTTTCTGTTTATAGTAAATCTTATTCATTTGATTTACAAACCAAACATACAAGAAATAGATGCATTTCTTGCAATTGATTGCTGACCTTTTCAACACCATATTCAGAGAAAATTTCATATATTTTGTTTTGATTTTCTAAGTTAAGTTAAAAACACTAAGACTCTACTGAAGTTTTAAATAAGATATTGAATGAAACATATATGTATAGAGAAGAATAATATTTGAAAAATATTCCAGGCCCTGTTGCTTTGATCCGGTTTCAGATCTGGAGTATGGGTCGAGATTGCTTGGATTTAATGAAAGAAAGATTAAAAAGTGCTGTTCAACATTCTCTTTGGGATCTCCTTATGGAATATAGAGCTCTCACTGCCCCCATATCTGAATCTGCCATTCTTGAAGATTCTTCTTGTTACAGTGAACCTACAACTCCAATCAGAGGTATATTCCACAAAAATGCCTTTATATTCTTGTGTTCACAGTTCAAATATGAGATTCATTTCATATATCTGTTTGTACACTTATAACTATTACATAATATTCTACAATGTCTGTTCGACAATTTATTTTGGGTTATTTTGTTTAACAGTTTCTTTTAAATTAAACTATTTCTAAAACATGTATTTTCTTACCGAAGTAAGAAAGTTGTAGCTCTTTATAAATTTATACCTAAAAATTGTAGTTCCCATGCACATGAATAACATTACTGTATTCACATGTGTATAAATGGGCTTTTTCAATCTCTAAATTGCAATGAAAGTAAGGAGGGTGAACTTATACACAAGTAACAAACATTTAGACACAAAGGATTTTTTTCCAACATTTTGCTGCTAACAATAAATTTAAATCTAATCCATAAGATAAATGTAAGCATAAAAGAAATAATGCTATTATAACACAATCACATTTAAATCTAATCCATAAGATAAATGCAAACATAAAACAAATAGTGCTATTATAACACAATCATAGTTTTTATATGGCAATAATATAAGTTTCTTTTGTTTTCATCTTAAAGGTTCTATGCATAGGGATTCGAATACATCTTCCTCTCCTTAATCCCACAAAACATAATATCATTTTTAGTACCATCCATCAAATTAAAAAGTTTTATTTTTCCTTTGCATTAACATTTTGTACATAACATAAATTTTTTGAAAGCTGAGTTAAATTCTTCAAGCTGACTCACTATAAATCCTTTTTTAGAATCATATCAAGGACTGAACATTATTATTAGTATAATGACAGGGGGTGAAAAAATTATATATTTTTAAAATTATTTAAAATTATGAATTTTTTTAAAAAACTTTCTTTGAGGTTGACATACGTACCAAATACACAAAATCTACCATTTTTGAAATAAAAAATAAGGGTTCACTTAAACACTAGATCAGCGCTACATCAGAAAATATGATGATAACATTTTTGGAATCCAAAAGATATATATATAAAAAAAAAATTAAAAATAATTTAAAGAAAATAGAAGGAGATAGCAATATATAATTTGCTGTATTCTGCTTGGAAAACCAGGTATTTATTATCACCTAGTTTTGAAATTAGTTATTAAGTTCTCTAATAAATGATGCTGCTAAGCAATAAAAAATATTAAAACAACAGTATTTTCTGAATATGCACTGATTACAGAATAAGGAAGTACATTCTGAAGAAAGAATTAACTAATAACATTTTGAATATTTTAGTTTGAATGACCTGGTTTGTGACGGAAAACATCATTTAGAATTTTTTAATCAAAAGTGTCATCTAATTACAAACTTTGTGTTTGCAAACACGAATTTTGAAACTTGCTGAGAATAAAATTTAATTTCTTAAGAAAATTGTTGCAAACCATTCATTTCTCTTTAATGGATATTTCAAATCACCTTTTATTTTTGGGACACCTGTTACAAAATTTATGTGCAATATGCATTAGTCGAATGAGCATATATATAGTAGAGTTTATGAAATTTTGGTTTGATTTAATAAGAGTGTAATCAAGTTGTAGTAAAATCTACCTATTTTAATTTAGTTTAATGAATAAATCAATCTAAGAATAATCTTATAAATCTATTTAATCTTTGGACATTTTAAAAAGAAACAAATTGCAAAACTAGCAGAAATAAAGGTTTGTGTGGCATTGAATGGTGATAATCATAAATTAAATGGTCATAATTACAGTTATAAATGTCAATTTGCACATTTTATTTATTAACATTTAGTAAAATTATCTTTTTCCCTATTTCAATTTATTTAATTAAATCCATCGTTTAATTCATAAAAATTGGAAATAAAATATAGAACATTACATAATGTCAAATGAGCAGCATGAAACATTGTAATATTCGTAAATTTCAGCGGCCTTAATCGAAAATGTTTGCCTTTTTGAAATAAAGTCCTTTGTTGATATTTACGTTAACACTGAAAATTAACAGTCTTTATATTTTCATAGCCTTATATGTTTTTGTAAAAAAAATTTTATTGCTTTTTATCAGTTTTCTTAAAATTTATTTTAAATTATCGTCATGAATCCAAACTTATGGAAAACACAAATTTCTTTAGCCCGAAGAACTGGAGTATCTGGAGTGAATGCTGAAACCGCCCAAAATAAAGACTCACCAGAGTCTTCAATTAAATTTCATTCTTCAAAAGAAATGTCGTCCTCAGTACCTGATATGTCTTCTAAAACACACTCTCCTCCTTCACTAGTTAAAGAAATCACTGCTTTTAAAGTAAGTTATTCATAAATGAAATTTTTTTACTGTGTCTTTTGCCAGCATAATGAATCACAAAATCAGCATATCTTTTTCTTATGAGGAAAATTAGCAGAAATTCAATATGTTGATTTATTAGGTGGACCGGAAATTAATGTGGTTTTGGTGCATTTGACATTTATTATCTAGATTTTATTTTTAATGAATAATGTAGCATTCACCCTCGTTAGCAACAACCTCTCAATGCCAGATCAAAAATGAATTGAAATGGATTTTAAAAAATTGATTGGTTTTTAAGACTAACAAATATTAATACGCCGAAACGACATTATTTTCCGGTCCACCTAATATTTAGTAAGTTATAAGGAGAAGAATTTTACAATGATACCATTCTAAGATATACTCTTCAGGTACTCCTATAATTTCTTGAGCTGGACAAAATTTTTAGCATGCAAATTGCTGAAGAGATATGTAATAATAATCTGATTTTTTTTAAATATACAGCAGTTGAACTGAGGGGCCCTGGGATGCCCCAAACCCCTCAGCCCTCACTTCTACAAATTTTAAATTGCAAGTACTTGCTAACCGCAATACTTAGGAGCATGGAAAGAAATCCAAAAATTGGCCAAAGTCATTTGTTTTTGCTTAAAAACTTCTCCAAACAAAATAATTTAAAAAAAATTTATTGAAGTCTAAATATTTCATGTAATAAAAAACAAGGCATAATTGAAGTTTTACAACTATAAATTAAATTTGATAATGTTTTCAAGACTATTTTGGCGAAAGTGTAACCCCTGTAAAATAATAATAAAATTAATACTAGCATGTTTAATAAAAACAGTAAATTAAGCACAAAATGTAACTAATGCTCTACTGTACTTTTATATCTACCAGGAAGTTCCATGTACCTAAACTATTTTTGATATTGGAATGAAATAGCTAGTAATTAGGTTTGAAGATAATCTTTTGTCTTGTTCTAGATAACCTTTCTGTTTTTATTAACAATTGTTTAATTATTTTCGCTGCCTTAAAATATTTACCAAATCCCTTGGACATTTTCAGAAATTCAGCATTACTGAAAAGTGTTTTTAAAATTCCTTTTCAAAATACAAATCATCAAAATGATAGGTACTTTTTTTAACCTTCATACAAATGATAAAATTTTTAAAAAAATTTCTTTTTGATATAGCTCTTTTTAGATAATATTATGATCACAATCAAAAGAAAGTATTTTTATGATTTTGTAATTACATTTGAAGAAATAGAAACTTCAATTGTTTAAAATTTAATTTTTAATAAAATTTTCAATTTAAAAAATACTTTGTTTGCAACAGAAAGTTTTTATACTTTCCAGTATAATTTTATTGATGGAACATTGTACAACTCATAATAAATTAAGATCAATAATTATATAGAAAGTTTTTGAACTGTTATTAGAACTGTTGCATTAAAAGAAATAATTAGAATCAATTAACTTATTTTCTCTCGTGCAAAAATATATCTAAATATGTAATCAAGGTCAAGACTTTCTTAAACAAATAATTTTAAAATAGATTTTCAAGAGTCTTGAAACTAAATCAAGGTGAATTTGCTATTTAACATTAATAACATTGCTGTTTATAAATCTTTAAAAAAGTAATTTGTGAATAATCCCTTGATTCAACTTTAAAAATTATATGGTATGATTTCTGTATTTTTTATTGGAATTGATATTTTTTATTTTTAAAATCAGATGAAAGGAAAGATTTAATTATTGTAAAACTATTAAAACTCCAACCTGGATGGTTTGTTAGAGCATTTGCTAAAAATAGTAAATAAGGGTATGACCCCTGAATTCATCATAAAAATTTTATAATGTATAATAGTTAATGGAATTTTGTTCACTATATGTATAATAGTTAATTGAATTTTGTTCACTATATGTATAATAGCTAATTGAAATGTATAATAGTCAATTGAATTAAATTCCCAAAATATTGAAAACAATAAATAATACAGGTATGGCTATTTGTCTGAACTATGCATATAATTAGTGAATGGTCACTAAATTTGAATTATTCAACTTAGTATTTTTTACTAATATTTTTAATTATAAAATATGTTGGATCGAAAATCCAAATCTTTCAATTCTTCAGATCAATTAGTTTTAAATCACCATTTGTATTCTTAGAAAATAGGATGTTTTGTAGAAACAAAAATTGGAACATCAAAACAAAAAGCTTAAAATCAGAACAAATATGAACAAATTATTTTTCATCAAGAATATCGAGACAATTATAAACCCCAACTTTTGTTATTTTCTTCAATTTTTTTTTTATAAATAATTATTTCAATATGCATTACATAAAACTAATATTTACTTTTGTATTTACCTGTCCTCAACTTGTTTGTGTAGTTTTCCACTGGTCCTCAATCTGCAAAGCCTGAATTTCATACCAAATTGCCTATTCAATCATCCTGTCCCAGTCCTGTCTCTCCAATTGCAAACAAATCAGACAAGCGAAACTTGAATCTCATGTACTATAAATCACTAAATAGTTTTCTACGATATGGAAGTCATATAGGTATGTTTCAAGAAATGGATATTATAATTATTTAAAACTCTTTGTAAATTACTTTGAAATTTGTTAGATTTCATATTAAATGCATTATCTATTAGAGGTAGCTGAACTGTAAGAAACATTTTTACTAAAGATTGACTTAAGCAGGAAACATTTCTGTTATGTAATCTCACCCTTGTAGGTTTCTAAAAAGTTTTGAGAATGCTTTAAAACAATTTTATATTGACACTATAAATATGTTTCGTTTTCCAGTATGTACATATTAAAATTTATATTTTGATACTAATAATCTTTTTATTTTATTTTTAATAACTTTTTAATGAAATGTTTTCAATTTATCTATTCTAAGAAACCTTTTTCATGTCAAGAAATAGTGCCAAAATCTCATCTTTGTTTTAATTATACAAATATTTTCCATAGGTTAGAGAAAATGTTTTATGCTGAAGAATAATGCTGTCAAAAATAATATACAAGCACAATTCAGCACTTTAGTTTTTTAGATAAGTTATGATGTAGTAGTCGTTTTCAAGGAATTCGAACAATTTTGTAGTAAGCTGGGTTTTTTTTGGGTAATATTTTAATGTTATAATAATTAAGTTTATTTTAAATTACATTGAAAGCTTAATAAATTTATTCTACATCATGTAATACAGTCATGGTACCTATCAATCTAAAGCTGGGTAGGCTTCAAGCGACCATCATGGATTGAACCTTAGTTTTTCATATTGACAACTTAACCACTAAACCAGCCATTGCAGAATAGTGGTTAAGGTTACATACAATATCTATCTTAATTTCAAAATACATTATTATTATGTTACATTGCATTACATCTATATCTTTCATTTCAATAAACCTAATTTGTTGTTTACTTCATTAGTTTTATAAATCAATAAGCCATTTAAAATATAATATTTTTTAAAGACATTTCTTGTTCGATTTTGAAAATTTTTATAGTATCTAATTCCAAGAAAAGGATGTATCCCTTTGATCATTGATGAAACTTGAACCTATCACACTTATTATAGAAATGAACAACTGTGTTTCTGTTTAATTCAATGGTTCAAAAAATTAATTAAATAAATAATGCCGGGTTTTAATATGAAACTCTTAAGAGTATTGTTAGAAATCACTTGAAAAGAAACTTTAATTTGTTTAAATTGCCTAATTTAAAAAAAAAAACAATTCTTGTGAATTGTTTTCTTATTATATTAAAATGTTTATTATGTTACTAAAGTATATTTTATTATTACGTATATATTTTTTTAATAATAGGTTCTCCTTCTTTGTCAAAATTTGAATATGAGCTTCCCTCAAGACATGCTGTGATTCTTATTTTGAAAGAAATTACAAATTCAATCAAACTGCTGCTAAGAGATGCATTTCCTCGTATATACATTAAAAAAACAGATGGTTTAAATTCTGTTGAATTTCTACCTTTTTGTCCTGAAGAGGTAAAACTATATTATGAGAAGTAATATTTTCTAATACTTTTTTTCAGTCATTAAATATTATCATTATGTTTAAAATTACGTTTGCTAAACTACTTAATAAATTACAATAATATTTCAGTTTCCTTTTTTTAAATTTTTTTTTCTATTTTTTCCATTATATAATTTTTTCCATGTTTAACGCAAATGTTTGAAGTGAGCTTTATTTTGATACCATGATTTTTTATCATTTTTATTTATAAAATATGTTAATATCTCATATCTATAGTTGATATATTTAAAGTTTACTAATAATAAAAAAAAAGTTCTAATTTTTTTGAGAAAAAATAAGTTTGACTCATTAAAATTAGGATATTTAGTTTTTTATCTGCTAGACATTTAAATTTTCTTATAATCTCTATCAAATTTTTATATGCAGGCTAATTATCTTAAACTCTCAGACTTAAACATTTTTTTATTAAATGTGTGAATTTACTAATTTTTTTTCTTGTAAAGGAAGCTCTGAATTTTTTAAATCTGGAATAACTGTTAATTACTCTATTATGATAAAGAAAACGAAGGAAATAAAAATATGACCACCGAAGCCGACGTCTTCAGGGGGTACCAGCCTCGGTAGCCATAAAAACAGCACCATTTCTAATTCAGGGAGAAGCAAATGCCTAAATTAACTCCCTCAGTACCCCGATGGTTTTGTATAGAAGTCCAGGAAAAAACATGAAATACAAATAACAAATTAAGAAAAGAAACTCATACAAAATCATCAGAAAAATAAAAACTCACATATTCACAGGTCAAACATTGATTCCACAAGCAAGCCGAATGAAAAGAAAGCACTAAAAACTAAAGAAAACAACGCCCTTTATTACAATGCGCAGATGGAGAATAAAATGAAAAAAGTCAAGAGAAAGAAATACGTAACAAATTAATAGAATGCTTAACTGGAAGCTCTGAATTTTTTTAATCTGGAATAACTGTTAATTACTCTATTATGATTATGAGTATGAGTTGCCCTCCAAACAGTTGAAATGATGTATAGCAGTCACTATGGAAACAGATTGTTCCACTAAGTTGTAAATTTAATTTCAACTGTTAATCAATCCCAGACCCTGTAATATTCATTATTCTGAATTATTTGTTTTATTTTTCATCTAATTTTTTAGGAAGCATTGGTGATTAATGGTAATGAGTTTCCTATAAAGAAACAATAAATGGGCACAAAATACCATGGAATATAAATTTAATACTTTTTCTTCCTTTTTTTCTGTAAATTGTTCGAAAATTCTGTGTCTGTTCTGTTTTAATCTGTATTTATTCTGTTTTTTTTTTTTTTTTTTTTTTTTTTTTNTTTTTTTTTTTTTTTTATTCTGTCCTTTTTTTTATTCTGATCTCTGTATTCTGTGTATTTTTCCTCCTATTTTTTTCTTCCGTGTTTTTTATTCTGAAAATTTTATTTCAACATTATCTTCAAACTCATATTTTTGCTAAATCATCCATTTTTTCTAATGAAAAAAAGTGTAATGCGTTTTTTAGGGTTTCTTTATTGCACTTAATAGAAAATCTATCCTTTTTCGTATTTTAGCTTACATTTAGAACACTGCTGTTAATATTTAAATATCTTTAAACTTGCTTTAATTCAAAATTATTGAGCTTGATTCACAGAATGTTTCAAACAAAAGAGTGTTAAAAAACAAAGGTAGATATAAATTGAAGTAAAATAAGGATATCTTGCAAAATTTGAAATTTTATGTGAGCTTTAATTTTATTTATTGAAAATGTATGTTAGAAAAGGAAGGGGAGAGCGAAAAGTATAAATAGTTTACTATCAGCGAGAAAAATAATGTGTGTGTTGGCATGGGCAAAGATTTTTTGAATTTTCAACTAACTTTTATTATCTGGAACAAAAAAATAGTATACTGATAAAAAATTAGTGATTTTCAAAAATTCAATTTTTTTAAATGAAATTTACTAAAAGTTCATTGCTAGCTGGATTCTAGATGTCACCATTAAAATAGTAATAATAATAAATGTGTCTTACTGCAGAATGTAAAAAAAATTATTGTACTAAGCTGTTATAAAATGCAAAGTGATATAAATAATTATGCACATTTGTATACAATATATGTCAACTTTTATTTTCATCACAGACTATCACTTCAAATGTGTGTGAGGAAATTGAACCTGGAGTAGAAAGATGTTTTATTGTTATTGGAAGAAATGAAAAGCAGTGGAAAGCTTACATGGGGCACACTGATTTTTCTAAATTCCAAGAAACTGGAAATGATAGTAAGACATGGCTTTCTTATGAAAATTAAATTATTATCTATTTTTTCTTACATTTAAACATTTTTAACCTTAGTCTCACAAATGTTCTAATATATGTAAGAGATTTTCTTCTTTTAGTTCTTTTGTTTTCCTTCCCCTTAAATCAATATTAATTTTTTTTTTTACTCTTTTATTTAATAACCTGAATTTTTTCTTCTTCAATATTCATTTCTTGCTTATAATATGCTTTTTATTAGCACCCAGTCTCTATGTCCTTGCAAAAATTGAAATTTTTTGTCATACCAGGGCTTTCCATGTTTTGACCTTGTTATTCTTCTATTCTTTGTGTTTTTGCTCTTTAACTAGAATTTAAGGAATTTATCATGGAGAATTTTGCAGTATTGATATTATGAGCAAAACTATAAACTTTAAAAGCTTATCATATCTTGTTAATAAATTTAAAATCTTGAATTAATGTTATTCAATAAAAGTTTGCATTATTCATTAAAAATTTGCAATAATCTATTGGATTTTATTCAAACAACTCCAAAAGAGCATAAAACATTAGATTTTTGATTAAGAAATCATCATTTATTCATCAAAAAATTCTAGCAACAGAGTTCTTTTATGAAGAGATGAATTATTTAACATTAAAGACATCCTATTACTTAACATAAAATGATCATACATTACTTACATTTTTACATAAAGTGATTTATAAAATAAATTTGTTACAGATAGTTTTTATTTATTTTAAATGTTTTCAGGTGTTAAAATACATCAGAAGTATCAAACTCATGTCTGTAACTCAAGGGGTAGCATTGATCTCAACATAGAATCTGTTCCTAGCTCTCCTACTTTTGCCAACAAATCTGCCTCATCAGGATTATCGGTCAGTCCCCAGCCAAAATCTCCTGTGGCTACTGCAGCTGACAATACTGTCCGTCCAGCTACCGCTTTTGTACCTCGTCAAAGGCTTTTTCTGATGATGGTTAAAGATAAAAGTGTAAGTTGTGTTTATGTCATACAAACTTACTCTTAATGGCTAATCAAAATTTAAATAATCTTAAACTAAACTTAATGCATTCAGGCCTATGGATATTGAATTAACCCTTTTACAATATTGAATTTAGAAAGTTATTCTTCTTCGTTGTTATTACTGTTGATGTTCTTTCCTTAGTTTTAGGTTAGAAAACAGTGTAGCAATAAAAAAATTTTTAATTTAATTTTTTTTGCATTTTATTTATTTTTTATATAATTTATTTGTTATACTTCATTTTATAAATAAATTTTTTGAAAATAAAATTTTATGAAAAATTTTATGTAAATTATTATTAATATGAATTATTATTATTAATATGAACATTATAAAATTTGTAATTGTTGTAGGTTTATTGGAATATGAGTATCATTAGTTACAATAGGGGTATACTTTGATAAGTATTTATTTTGCTCTATTGTATTTGTTCTTAATTATTTTTATATAAAACCTATCTGTACGCCACCTGTCAAAAATTTCGCGAACAAGCTTTCTTGACAGCCCCTTATTTTGCAATTAATGAAGGTTTATTGCAATATGAATATCTTCAGTTACAGCAGGATGAACAAGTTTATTTTTCATCTTTTGAGTAGTATTTATTGTATCTAATAATAATATCTTACTTTTATTAGTATTTAATTTTCTTTTTTTTTTTTAATTGTTAGGCAACTCTGTTTTTGTACAATTGCTCTCAAGACACTTCCCAGAAACTTTTGGTACAGATAAAAAAGCTTATTGCTTTTCATCAGAATAGGAATTGCTTATTAAGCAATATTATGCTCCAGAAATTAGGTATATTTTATGGATTATCCAGTTTTAATCGAACAGATGTTGAAAAACCCAAGAAAGATGATAAAAATGTAAGTCTATCTTTTTTTTTTTTTAGATTTGTAATTTGAAATTCTCAGCTTTTTATTATCCTTTATAATTATGACATTAATGTTTAGAAATTAAAATATAAATTTTTTAAATTTTATATAGTATCTTTCTTCTTGTTTCACATGATAAAATTAATAATGGTTACTTCATGTATGGCATATGTATTTTTAATTATTTTTATGATCTTTGTTGCATAACTTTTAGCTCTTTTTACTATAAAAGAAATATTGAAGTTAGATAGCTTAGCAAGCTTTTGGTGATAATTTATCATAATTATGTTTACAAAGAAATGCTGTATTGTCTTGTAAACGAAGACCATAACCATTTATTTAAAGATTTTGAAGTGATTTATCATCATTGTTGTAAATCTTGTAGCTCTTTTTTTCCATGAAAGAAGTATTGAAGTTGGACAGTTGAGCAAGCAGGGCTATTTTATCAGAATTATATTTAAAAAGAAATGCTGCATTGTCTCTCCATGAAAACTTTTGTAATGATTTATCATCATTAAACCTTTAATTTTGGAATATGCATTAATAAAAATAGGCATGTTGCTTTTAAAAAAAATTATTTTATTCAAAATGTGAGCTTAATAAAATGAGCATACATATAATTTCAATTTTTGTACTACTGAAGAATTAAATTAATAGTGAATCTGTATCATTTTGCGATGCTTAAATCACATAGTACCTATTTTAATGTGTCTTTATTCAATTCTAATGTACGTTTGTAATTAATGTACATTTTGAAGTATGAACCTCACCTTCAACATGCATTTTAAACTTTGTCTGCTTTTTAAACACATTTCAAGTCATATTGATTTTCTTTAACTCACATTTGAAGCTATGCCATTTTTAAAATGGGGATATTAAACTGTTTGTTTATTAAATGTGCACTTTTAGCTAAATCATTTTTGTTATTACATTTTTCTCAAATACCCATTTTGCACCTGATTAGAAGCAAAAAATTCATTCACATTATGGGATGTTGTCATTTTTGTGTGACACACTTGTTCTGTGAAACCTTGATTAAATGGACACTCTTGGAACCAAAAAATTATCCAATTATGAGAGTTATCCGTTTACAGGAAGGGAACACTAATAACAAAGTATGACTCTATAAATTAGTTTTAAAGTAACTACTATGATGTAGAAATAATTAAGTAATCTTTAGATAATTTAATATGGTACTTTCCCATTTTGCACACACATTAAGTCACCGAAGCGAAAGCAAAGTCACTGAGCATAAGCTAAGCTGACAAAATGAAAAAGTACCTATATATTTTATTAAAGCTATTGAAAGAAACTGCTTATGTTTTTATACTATGAAAAAAAAAATTATATTTGTTAAATTTATTTGTTTGAATTCTAATGAAATATTTTTCTATTTCTTTTTTATTCTCATTTTTTTAGGCAGCAAGAGAGTCTATTGATGAATCTGTTGTTAAATCATATGCTTACGTTGATCAGTTAGTTAGCAATCAAATATTCACATCCTCTTCAAGGTCATCTAGTTTAAGCACACCAAGAAATGCATACATTGCAAAAAACCTTAAAAATACCAAACCAACTGTACCTTTCCATTTGAGTGAATTCTCTAGAATCAGAGATCCTGTCTCTGCTCATGGAAGACAGTTTTTAGATACAATAGCTGCACAAAGAAGAGGTTATTATTTTTTTTTATATTATTGTTTATTTAAAAATTATTTTATTAAATAAGTGAGAGATGAGAAGTTGATAAACATAAAAAAACTCAATCTCTGTATAATCTGTCTGTTTCAACTGTACTTTTCCTCTTACATTTGAGAACATTTACTTTAAATAAGGCTAACAAATGTGAAATAAAGCATAAATATGTTGTATGATATAAACAAGCATTCTATTTGCTTTTTTGTGTAAATAAGAACCTTTCTCTGTGTCTAAACACTGAATAAAAGAAGGAAACAAAGAGGTGTAGAGGGAAATTACTAAATAAGTTGCATCAAGAGAAAAATGGTTTGACCAATAGAGGGAACCTGTTCCAAAGTCGCAACTTGTTTTTTAGTTTTCTCTATGTTTTTACTCTTCATCCTGTGTTTGAAGGTTTTTCATTACAGAATTAAAACTAAAGTATGTTTTTTTATCTGCTAGTATTTATGTTTTGTTCACGTTATTTAGTTTTATTCATATGTTCATTCTATATACATTGTCTTTATTTGATTTTTATTTAAAAAAATGTCTGCCCTTTAATTAAGTTTAGTTTAGTATTACCATTCTTATCCTGAAATTCTGATTCTAAAATTCTGATTTGTATAAATTAATATTTCGATCCATTTTTAATTTTACTAATCCTCAATTGAATTGTTAGCATTATTTTTTAAAAAAATTAAGTGTCTGTTAGTGATGTGAAATCAATGCAATTTGCTATCTAAAATAAAACTTGCTTTAAGATTGTTGACAAAAAAAAGTTTGGTGCTAATGCAAAATCTACAGTCTAAGTTTTAATCATATTATTATGCTCTATGGAGCATTAATTTATACTACATTTTATCATTCAATACAAAATATTTTGGGAAATAGTATTACTTCAAAAATGGAGTTGGTATATTTTTTCTTATTAGATTATTATTTTTCTCTTTCATACAAATTTTCTTTTCATGAATTCATTTCATTTCATTCAAAACTAAAATTTTATTTTACATGATGAATATTTTATTTAATCTCTGGTTTAGCATTTTTAATTGCAATAAAATTCTGTGACATCAAAGATATCTGTCTTCCTTAAAGCACAAACTTCTGCAAAGCATGATGTTCCTCTCTTAACATTTTTCAAACTGGCGTGTATGAAAACTTGAGTCTGACCTAATAGGAAATATAAGTCTGACCTAAGTATAAAGCTTTAAATTTTCAGGATGTTAAACAAATGGGCAAGAGACCCAAGGAGCTTAATTTGATGTCTTTTGCTCAATTTTCTTTAAGCCTAGTTCTAAAGAAAGTATTAATCTTGATTTATCATTATTTTTTATTTTAAATATATATTGCTTTAAAAAAAGTACTGTGTCTTTTATATCCAATTTCCATATTATTTTTTCAATTGATTTCTTTCCAAATTTGTAAAATAGTCTAGTAATTTGTAAAATAAATCTTTGAAATTCTATTATTGTATTAATCAAAGTTTTAGTAATATAATAGCAAACTTTTAAACCCTGTTTATACTTCAAATTCTAATTCTGATAAAAATGCATTCTTACGAGTGTTTTTTTTTCATTAAAATATGTGTATTTATGTAAGGGGTATCCAAAAATAAATGAAAATAATTCTGCAGTTGGTGGATTCAGTAGCATAAATTTTTCAGGCCAGACGAACTTTCACTTTTCAATTCTGAGTTTAGTGTGCCCTATTGTTTCCACTAAGGTGATTCTATTTTCATTTTGAGTTTTTCTGGGAAAATCAGTTTTTAAAGTTGCTTAATTTTTACTATGGAGTTTTTAATCACAGAAGCTGGCTTCTATTTAAGTTTTTATTTCTGCTGAGAGAACTAAAAGAAGTGGCACAGAGTAGGACCAGGTCATTAATGTGTCTGGGATAAAAATTTAATCATATTTTTTTATAAGTTCAAAATCTGTTACCCTTAAATGACCTTATTGTTTTTTGAGCTCAGCTGTATGATTTTTTTCACACCTATTTCCATCTACAGGTTGATAAATAATTACAACTAATGTTAGTCACATTTGACTATTTTTATTCATAAGAAGGCCCATTATAAGCTTGAGTTTATTATTTATTACATGTCAAATTATTCCTGTAAACTGTGTTCAATGTCACACTCATTTCTGTTACATTTTTTAAAGAAAATATCAAAAATTGTTTACTTGAATTGGAGAAAAAACGAAAAACGGAGAAAGCCTAATCTGATTTTATTAAAATAAATTCACTGTAATGAAAGACTGCAATGAATTCAGTGCAATGTTATTGGGTGAACTTTTCTTTGAACTATGCTGAACTGGTTCATCTGAAACAAAAATGAAGATTGTATTACTGACTTTTTTTTCAGTTACTGATATTTTTATTTTTGTATATCAAAATATTTCAACTATTAAAATATTTAATTCATAAAAATATTTTTTTTATTTCAGGCAAATATCTTCATGGTGAGTATTTCGATTTTACTACTTCAATTTTACTCACATTATTTTAAGAGACTCTCTAATTTTTTATTATCTTCCTACTTATATCCTAAATGTGATATTCCTCATAATTCATGAATATTTTTGCACCAAAGGAAAAAAATGATGTAAAAACGTTTTATATAATTAATGGTACTACTAAACATATATCTCTATCATTTGAAGTTTTGTATTTTTAAAAATAAACAAATTTTGATAAAATTCTCTATTTTAAATGCCATTTTTTGCTTAAAATTGAGCATTTTTCTTAAGACAGAGATCTTTTATGTTATAAACCATGTGTAACAGTAAAAGAATATGATTTGAAGCAATAGTTCACTTAGAATTGTTTTAATAATTTGTATCAATGTTACTAATTCCTAAAATTAAAAATATATCTTAGAAAAGCCTATATATCATTTACATTTTTTTTTGGTCTACTTTCTTATCGATTATTTTTTAGCATAAGAATACTCATATTTTTATTTTAAATTGTTGGCAAGCTGTGCTTTTACTCTAAAAGGATTATTTATAATTACTTATTAACTTCATATGCTAGTGTACTGAAATTATTTTTCAATTGTTAGTCAAACCATTGTAATCTTATTTTAATTGTATTTAAAGAAATTTTTTCATAGAAATATTGAAAATTTATTTTATTTAAACAAGAGTAAAATTTACCGATTTATTTATTATACAGTATGTTTCTTTTAAGTTCAAATTTACATCTCAAACCTAGCATGTTTTATCACAGCATCCCACAGTGCAAAACTCTTATTGCAAGTATTTTTTATTACCTTTTTATGTTTTTTTAATTACTTTATAATTGCATAGATATGCAAGTTTTGCACAATTTATGGAATTCAAGAGGTTCAGGGCACCACTCATTTGTAAGTATTTTCTCTACTTATGCTCTTTAGGTCAATATTAAATCAAATAATAGCTTATAAATATTTATTAAAGAAATACTTTTGCCTGATTGTATGTTGTTTACAAGTTTCATAATTATTTGCATAAATTTTTTTATTCATATAATATTGTACCAGAAATAGCCTATACATAACAATGGGCTATCTCTTTACCAATAAGGTGTTGTATGTTATTGAGATGTGATGAGCATAATTTTTGTAATTTTACATGGTTTTAAAATTGAAGATAGGGAGTCAGAGACCCTTGAAATGGTCACTTTTACCCATACACTTAGCAGATTTATAAGGAGATTAGCCCTTTTTCTGTCACCAGGATTTTTCTACTGCCTGTGCACTACTGCATAGTGAAATACAAAAAATAAATAATTACATTTTAGCCTAGATTTTACCCACTCTCCTGACTGAATAATTGAAATCACTTTATCTGGGTCATGGATACTTGGCACATATTACTTATAATTTTGAGTGTTAAAAATTTAAATTTTTCAAAATCAGATAAAGTACATTTTTGTGTCTAATTCTGTAGTTCAATAATAATTAATACTCATTGAATAACATATTGAAGGCGTGGCTCTTTTTACTAATAAGAATGCATTTTAATTTATGTAATTCCAATAAGATAGCCTTATAAAAATAATTCAATGTGAATATTAATTATTTATTACTCAAATTATTCAGCATTACTTTACTGTAATGCTGAATTCATGGTATGTTAATCTTTTTGCTATTTCATACAGTAACCAGCTATTTGCTATTCATGCAGCAACTATTGAAACCAGACCAGCCTCAGTAACTATTTAGCCAGGTTAGATTATTCTATACCAAACTCTGGCTTTCCTTTCTTCCAGTACTTCATCTAAACTTTCCTCGATGCAGAACAAAAACCTGCAAAGGGAACTAAAAAAAACAGCACCCTATGGAATAAGAGCCTTTACTAAATATTCGGCAAAGCCCTTTTGTGAGCATCAAAAACTCTTTGGTTACATATCGGATATTGCTCAGAGCCTAACGACTGCTCTTACTTGGTACTTTAACCTAGTTTCAGGACTGTCATATGAAAAAAAACAGTGGCAAATCAAGTGTCATGTTAAACCTTCTTACATGACACCACATCCAGTGGATAAATTACTAGTGGAAATTTTTACCTTTTATTTAGAAAATTAGATTTGCTGAATATAGCAATGAAAGGTATACTAATATTTTCTTGAAGATCCTTTAATTTACAAAATTATATTTAATTACAAGGCTATAGTAACTAACTTAAAATCATTTGATCTTCACATTGCTGCTGCTAATATGTCATACATAATCGGTAATATTCTTTTATTTTCAGGATAAGGTTTTCAGTGATCTAAAGTGCTTGGCTCGCTTGAGCCATTATTGTCTGACTCCTATTTTGTTTAGCCCATCTTGGCGATCTAAAGTAGCTCCTGTGAGAGACCATGCCTTGGAGCCTTTGGAACAAAATTTGACTGGTTTCGAGAAACCTCCAGAACCTCATGTTGTATCAACTGTGAGTAGTAATGTGCAACATTAATTATGTTCCATCCTGAGTCCATAACTCCTACTACTTTGACTTTGTGTCTTTAATAAATATTTGATATTAAGTATTACTGAAATAATAAATTAAGAAATTTAGTTTTAAGAACAGTTATTAACTTAAAGAGAGAAGTTAGGTTTTTCTATTACTTATGTTTTTTTTTTATCAATACAGTATACTCTCGCTAGCTCAAACTTGGATATCTCGAAAACCTTGTTATGTCAAGAAATTATTTTTCCCCTTAACACTATATATCCACCTAATGTTAATTTGAATTCCTGTATCAAAGAGTTTTTTCTCAAAGCGTTATATCCAATTTTTTCGAAATAGAAAATGCATTTTTTTCAGAAAAATTACAATGTAAGCTTATTGTACACCAATTCTTTTCTATTTAATACATAATTATTTTTGTCTTACTTTTAAAGATAAAATTATCATTGTTATATTTAGACTTATAATCAACTGTTATTACATGCATATTTATTAGTAGTTATTCTTATGTATCATGACTCTACTTTTTAGAACATATTTATATCATTTTAGAACATACTTTTTGAACTCGCTATCTCGAAAATTTTAATTTAGTGAAGTAGGCTCGCATTAAATGTATAAAAATTATCATTGTTATATTTAGACTTATAATCAACTATCATTACATACATATTTATTAGTAGTTATTCTTATGTATCATGACTCTACTTTTTAGAACATATTTATAACATTTTAGAACATACTTTTTGAACTCGCTATCTCGAAAACTTGCGATCTCGAAAATTTTAACTTAGTGAAGTAGGCTCACATTAAATGTATAAAGTTGTAATGTTTTATTCTATGCTTCATAAAGTTTCTTCATGCATAGGATTTCTTTTAACATCGCTCTAAAATCTAAGTTCCTGAGTACTTTTTGCCCTTAGCAATTGACTTTTTTTTTTCCTATGCAGAGGTCACGCCATAGCTCAGGTAGTAGTTTGAAAAGTACTGATGCTCCAGGTAGTGCTGGTAGTCAAACAAGAACAAGGAGATTCAGTGGAGCTACTTACCCTAGCTCAAATCAAGGATCTCCTAAACTCAGAACTAAAACACCATCTGAAGAAACTTGGCATGCCATGGTCTGTCGCCATTATCTCCAAGAGTATGTAACCTACATGCATACTATGGGTTTTGTATCCTTGCAAGCATCTAATCTATCTGACCAAAGGTAAAAAAAAATCTAGTTTTATTTTTGACGCTAATTTGGTAGTCACATATGCTACCTTGTTCACATTCATCATTAAACTTACCTGACACAATAAAAATTTTAAAAAAAATTAAATTTTAGCATGCAATAAACTCCTTTTTTTAATTAAATAAATTTATTAGCAAGCAAATATTATTGGTATTATCTTTTAAATATGTGAAGAAAAGAACAAATTTGTCTGCAGTTTAATTTATGTCAATGTCTAATTTTAAACCAGTAAGAAATATCCATTTTTTAAATGACTTCTCGAATGATCTGATTAAAATTTGTGAAAGACGGAGGGCTTAATTAATTGCACCCACTTTCCAAATTTTAGGAAGTTTTGGAGTCATACGAGTGACGCATAGACAGATACACAAATTATTCTTTTTATTATTAGAGAAAAGATGATCTTTATAATGTAAAATAGAAAAACTTTATGGATTTTTTTAAACTTTCATTCCGAAATATCCAAAGCAGGATGTTTGAGGGTGTAAAAATACTTTATTCTTAACAAATATTATGTTAAATTGATAAATGTGCCTTGCTGAAATAAAGCATGTTATTCCTACAACTTAATTATCTAATAATTACTATCGTCAAAAATTTATTTACAGAGTTATTACAACATAACATAATTATTAAAATATATGTCAAAATACAAGGTTTGATTTTAAAAATTTTTGAATAAGTCAAATAATATATTTTATTTTTGCTTTTTTCTCTCTGTTTTTATTTGTTAGAAAACTATTTGGTGGTATATTTTATTTGTTGACAAAGTTTTAAACTAGCTAAAATATTATTTTGTTTTATTGTTTGTATTTTACTGTTGTTGAACAGCCGACCCAATTTTTAAGATTGCAATTACCAATGTTCAACTCTGTCGCTTAGTAATTTTTAACCCACTCCAGAAGACAACAGAATTTCTGTATTAAGTATTGAGAGAAATTGCCTTCTTGGAGGACTTTTTGATGAAACTAATTGGCATTTGCATTACATGAAGAGGAAAATCTTTGAAGACCTCTCATGGTTAGCCTGATGGCAAAGGGGACTCTAATACATGATCCATCTACCACTAAGAATATTTTATGTCTGCACTGTGGTCGGTGTGAGACTGTTGTAGAATTAATATTGACTAACTATTACTTGAATTTGAAGTCAGGTCACCTTATTGGGAAGCAAACTCTCTATGTCCTGAGCCACCCTGGCTCTACAATAATTATTTTATTTTATAACCATTGTTGAACTGCCAACCCAATTTTTCAGTTTAGGACTACTAATGACACCTCAGAGCTTACATACTTTGAACTTTTCACAAGGCAAAAGGCCCAGAACAAACAAAAGTGGCTGCTTCCACCTACTCACTACTGGTATAAAGCAAAAAGACCAGGACTCTCTCTATCTCTTCCTGGTGACAGGCAAACCAACATTTGCTTATCCCGACTGGCCAGTGGACACCTGAAAAGTCTCACATTTTCTGCTAATCAAAAAATCTTTCCTCTTTGTCCTAAATGCCAACAAAACCAGGCATCACCTGAGCACATCTTGAACTGTTTAGGGCTGGACTGGAACGACATTCATTCCTCTCCCATTCTGGTTTCAGATTTTCTTAATGTCAACGGATTTATTGATCTGGTCTGACCCCGTCAGACCAGATGGGAATTAGCAACAACAACAACTAATGTTCTGCTCCAAAGCCTTGTAATTTTCCAGAAAATAAAGGAACTTCCCCATCAACTATTTGGAGAAATTTGCTTTTCGGAAGAACTTTTGTGATGGAACTAATCATCTTTTGTAGTGATGGAACTAATCATCTTTTGTACTACATGCAGAAGAAAACCGCTGTGGATTAGCGTGGTAGCAGAGGGATTCTAACCACATGATCTGTCTACCACTGAGGATATTTTTCGTCAGTATGAGCCGTTTGCGGAATTTGTTTCGACCAACCATCGCTGGGATTTGAATCCTGGTCACCTCATTTGGAGGCGATCGCTCTATCTCTGAACCACCACAGCTGTACTAATTATTTTATCTTTATAACCATCGTTAAACAGCCGACCCAATTTTTGGGTTTACGACTAGTAATGTTCTACTATGTAGCCTTGTAATGTTGAATTCAATCCAGAAGACAAGGGAACTCGTGGATCAAGTATTGGGAGAAATTTGCCTTCATGGAGAACTTTTTGCTGCAATTAACCCACATTTGCGTTACACTGAAAGGAAAACCTCCCACAGTTAGCCTAACGGCAAAGAGACTCTAACCCGTGATCCATCTGCATATGAGAATATTTTACAACAGCACTGTGGTCCATGTGAGCTAGTTGTGGAATTCATATTGGCCAGCCATCGCTGAGATTGTAACCTGGTTCACCTCATTGGAAAGCAACCACTCTATACCCCAAGCCATCATGGCTTGCAGTATTTATTTGTTATATTTTAATGCTGTGTTATGCTTTGAGCTAAACAAGTAAATTTTACTTTTTTTTTGTTTTAAATTATTTTAATTCATTTCAGGCATAGTGTAATTGCAACTGATGATGATAGGATATCTAGATCTGACTCATTTTCTCGCCATCGAGGCCCTCCTGTATTTTATCTGATTAAATGTTTACTGGGTGGTTTACTAGTCTTTGAACTGGGATTAAGTGACCCATATGCTTATGGCCACCTCTACTCTCTAGAGTGTTCCAGATTCAAAAGTTGTACTCCTAGGGTTTTGAATTCTCAGGTATTGTTATTCGTACTACTTGTAGTATATTAGAGTATTAATCAAAAATATTAATAAATGCTACGTAAAGATAATTTAAATTAAAAAAAATAAGGAAAAATTAATTTTACGATTTACGTTTTTATATATTTAAAATGCATTTAAATTATTTAGACTAATGTTCTAAAGAATTTATGTTTCCTAGTCTGCAAAAGCAAAACAGGAAAGTTATTTAGTATAATGTTAAAGTTTATATTTATTTCTCAAAATTTACATTAGAAATAATTATGAAGTATGACTTATTCTACATTTGTTCTAGCACATGTAAATTGTTTCTTTTAACAATTTATAATTCTAAAGTTTCTTTTTCCTTGGGCTGTTAAGGAAGTAAATTTTATGGCAAGACTATAAGAAATCTGTGCTTCTTGCATTGCACTTGCTTTTGGATTTATCGCAACACTTTTTATATGCATCAATTGAATTCTTTAATAGTGGTTTTGCAATGACTGAAAAGAGAATTTGAATTTGGAATATATATATGTATATATATATATNTATATATATATATATATATATATATGTTTTTATTTATTTTTAGCAGCAAACAAACTTCTAGGGGAGTTAGGGCACATCATCAGGATTAAAATTACAAAGTAACCCGTACCCGGTAATGCTGTCATACATCACTAGATGTGCTTCCCTATTATTAACTATTTCTTTGTGTGCTTTTGAACAGATCAGGGAAGTACTCCATGTCATGTACAAGGATATTTCCAGGCCTTGCCCTAACTAACCTAGAAGTATATTGCAACATATTAGCAACTCTCTGTTATATATAACATTTTGAAACCTATGTTAAATAAAATAACTATTATTAAATAAAATAACAAAAAAAATAAATATATAATAAAATTTATTTTTTGCATAGAATAATCTTTGGATAAGCGAATTTTACATTTGTGAGCAAAAAATTTTAAATTCATTTAAAAAGTTCTTGAAATATGCAAAAAGTAATATTAACTTTACGGGGTCCAAACTTAGGACCACTTTGCTGACAAAACTATGTGAACCATATTTTCCAGATTGCAGCTACCCCCTATATTTTGGTGGTCAGAAACCCGAATCCGTAGAAAAAGAGGTATGTTTATTCAGAGAAAGTGCGTTTTGTGCCTTATTTCATAACTTCAAATATCATCTGCACTAATTAATTAGATTATTTGATTTCACCTCCTTGAACCATTAAAAATGAGTCTTAGAAAGTGAAGATCTGATCATTAAATCAAAAGTTATTTAAGGTGGTCTGTTATTATTATTTTTTTTTGGTGCACTGTACATTTCAACAAAAAGGAACTAAAAATATAATTTTTTAAAAAAATATGTAGCTTTAGAATAAAATATATACCCCAAATTTGACAAGAACAAGTATGTGTATCAATGCAATTCCTCAGTGTTATTTGTAAATAAGAAAGTTCTTTTACATTACCATTTTACAATACTTTATATATTATATAAAGTATTGTATTATTAGTAGTATGTATTATTAGTATTGTATATAGGGAAGCACCTCTAGTGATGTATGACAGCATTACCGGGTATGGGTTACTTTGTAATTTTAATAATTTTTAGTATTGTATATATTATATAAAGTATTGTAATTACAGTACTATATTATAGTAACAATATTATTATTTTTATTTATATATTATTTTAATATAACACTATAATATTTTTTCCTTCTTTTGCTAGTTAATTGCAATATTCCTTTTTATTTTAGTTCACAGCAGCCTTTTTAGATGAGCTTGATAAAATAAAATTTAACATGCACCTACATTCTTTTACATATGACTACCATTTACGCACAATACATTCTTACATATCTGGTCATCAGCTTATTTTCCGTCATGGTTACCACTTGACAAGTTTCTTAGATGACTTCATTAAATATTATCAAAAAGTTCCTACTGGTGCACGTAATTTAGTTTATTCAGGTAAGTTTAAATGTTGTATTTAGTACCAGAGTTTATTTTATGTTATGAACTTTGATTACTTCATTAAATATTATCAAAATGTTGCTACTGATGCTCATAATTTAGTTTATTCTTGTAAGTTTAAATGTTGTATTTAGCACCAAAGTTTATTTCATATTATAAACTTTGATAGAATTTATTAAATATATCAAAAGGTTTCTACTGATGCACCTAATTTAGTTTATTCAGATAAGATTAAATATTGTGTTAAGTACCAAAGTTTATTTTATATTTAAATCAAAAATACTTGAAAGTGTATATTTATCATTCAATACTTAAGGATTAATTTGGCAGTAATAATATTTCATTGCCCATATAAAAACAAAGAGTAAAATTTTGTATTTATGTCTGTTTTCATGCGTATTAATACTATTTACATATATATTGAAATTCTAATATCTTTGGCTAGAAATTATAGATCTCTGAATATTCATTCAAAAAATTCCGAGGCAATTAATTTCATTGTTGTATTGTTATTTCTAAATTCTCCTAAAGTATTACTTATATTCTTTTGGAAAAGTCAGATTAATCATACGATGATTAAAAGTATTATTTATATTGATTAAACAAATGTGGTTTTAAAATTTTAGTCTTTTTTGTAATTCTTTAAAAAATTCGGTTATTTTAATTATTTTTTAAACAAACTTTCTTTTCAAAAAGTGTATTCTTCTTCTTCTTCATAAGCGCAACAGCCTTTCACAGGCCAAGGCTGACTCGCAGATTTTTCTCCATCTGGCTCTGTCCGGTGCGACGGCCCGCCATCGGTTGACTCCCAATAGCTTGAGGTCCTTTTCAACGTCGTCTATCCATCTTGTAGGTGGTCGTCCCCTGCGTCTCGTACCTTCAATTGTGAAAAAAATCACTTTTTTGGCAGGGACGGCATCAGAATTTCTGAAGAGGTGGCCCAGCCACCTAATGCGTGATGCTTTAATAGTTCTCACAATGTCGGTCCCACCGAATTTGTCATATTTTTTGTAAATTTCGTGGTTGTAAAGAATTCTCCTTACGTTATTCTCTTGAAGAGATCCAAAGATTTTCTTCAAAATTTTTCTTTAAAAAATTAGCAGTTTTTCCTCCTCTGTTTTGTTTAGGGTCCAGCACTCACTTCCATACATAACTATAGCCCTGATTAAAGTTTTGTAGATGTTTAACTTTGTCTTCACACTGATGAACTTGGATTTGAGTTGGTTTCTGAGGCCGTAGAAACTTCTGTTAGCCATGAAAATTCTGTTATTTCGATTTTCAGGTTGTTGTGGCTAGAAATCAAGGTTCCTAAGTACTTGAACTGGTTAACAGTTTCAAAAGAGTAAGTCATTATCTCCAGAGGAGATCGATCAGGAGTTTTATTTGTTGCAATCAAAAACTTGGTTTTGTCTGCATTTATAACTAGTCCCATCTCCTTCGCCACACTTTCAAGCGCTACAAAAGCGTCAATGACTGAGCGTTTTGTTCTTCCAACTATGTCGATATCATCAGCAAAAGCGAGTAGTTGGACAGTTCTTTGTAAGATTGTTCCATTTGTGTTGATACCAGAGTCTGTAATGGCCTTTTCTAAAGCTATGTTAAATAGCAGGCAAGAAAGGGAATCACCCTGTCTCAGGCCTTTTTCGGTGAAGAATGGTTCAGAGAGACTTGACGAGATTTTTATTCTGCACGAAACTCTTTTGAGTGTCATTCTTGTGAGGCTGATTAGCTTCTTTGGGATGTTAAACTCCAACATAGCCTCAAGTAGTTTTCCTCGGTTGATGCTGTCGTAGGCAGCTTTAAAGTCAATAAATAAATGGTATGTGTCAATGTTATACTCTTTGGTTTTCTCCAAGATCTGCCTGATAGTATGCAATTGGTCAGTCGTTGTTTTTCCTTTCTGGAATCCGCATTGGTAATTTCTAATGATTCCCGACAAAAAGTGTATTAATTTCACTAAATATGAGTATTTTATCCGCAAATTGTCTGAATTAAGTTCTTACTAAGTTATTAAAATAACTGTTGAATCCAGTTTTCACATTGCAAAAAAATTTCTTCTTTGCGCTATTTAAAAGTATTAATTAATTTCATTTTTGTTTTTAATTAGTTCCAGCACTACTTATTTGGAATTTTATTCTGATTTATAACAAAATAAATTATTTTTTCAATTGAAACCATATCATTTTGTCTATTTCATATTTTTAAAGGGATATAAAATCAAGAAAGAAGGAAAGTGTTTTTGTATTTGAAAAACAATTAATTTATCATTTTTGACTGATTATAATGCATTAAGCCACCTTACTAATTTCAAGTGCATAAGATTTTAGTACATTTTAATACCATTTTCTTATCGTTAAAGCTAAGCTTTTTTAACTAAAGGTAAAACTGTAAGCATTAGGATTTTTCATGTTTAACTTGTTTCTAATTTTTGTTGTAATAAATATAGGTGACTTTAAAAACTTGTATAATGCTTATAACTCATATAAAAATGTGTATAATGATTTAAAATAGTTAAAACTGCTTTTTACTGTTTAAAATATAAAAAATCATTACTAATTTAAAATTTGGGTCTGTGTAGATGCTAAAATAATTAGAAGTATTTTAATTTAAATTGTTCTAAGATAATAAAAAAATTGAATTTGTTCTTTATTTAGGAACTTTGACAATATCTGATATTAATAGATCTGGTGCACAGCTTTACAATTATATTATAAGTCATAATAAACTCTATGGTATGACTGTTCTAAGAATGGTTCCTGTATCTTTTGATAGCTCCAGTATTGTAAGTATATTTTTGGTTTTCATTTCATTAACTGTTACTTGAGCTAAAATATTCTTAAAAACCAATAATACCATTATTTCGTAATTTTATAAAAAGGTTTATATTATTTTCAAAAATTATATTTGCATATTTTTATTTGACTATAAATTGTCAAAAACCATAGCTTAATTTTGCCTTTGTTGTAATGGATTAAGTTATAAGCTGGATTGTTGTTTTTAGCTTTAAAAAAATTGTTGGTTGAAAGGTTTTTAAAAGGTTTATAATATAATAACTGATAATACAGAGAAGTTAATGTGGCAAATAACTAGGATTTACTATTGAAACTAAAAATAAATTCAAAGTTACACTTAACGTGCTGAATTTTGTGAGAAATTACATTTCTGCATTAAGGATATAACTATAAAATATAGTTGAATGTGTAAAAGTACAAAATATCAAATAAATATGTGAAATAAATATCATATTGATAATATACAGCTTTTATAAGGAGTTTAATTACACCCAAACGTTCGTACTTTTTGACAATCTTCAAAAAATCACTTAGTAAATTTTTAAAACTTCAAAGTGTTTTTTTTAAAATGAACAATATCCAAAGCAACCAATGGTGACTTCTTTTTCTTTTCTCTGACCGAGTAGTTATGATTTTATTTAGAAAGTATTTAAAAATATATAAGTAAGTATAAAAAAAAACATTCTATAATTTTGACGAAATACTTTTATTCAAAAATAAAGCATCATTTTAAAAATACTATATTAATTTAATATCTTAGGTTAGAAGGTTTTAGGAGACATTTTTGAGAAAGTTGAGCTTATTATTGAGTTGAGTTCTTATTTTAGTCTTATGCAATTGAACCTTGATCATTGTTCCGGCATCTTACATTTTTCTCAATCATTTTTCTCTTGTTTTAATGGTGCCATCAGAAAGGCTCTTCTTAAAATGTTAACCATACTCATTTAGATTGTTTTTGGAACTAGCAGATTCCCACATCTACTGTTCAGAAAGTGTACCAGCATTTAAAAAATATTATTAAAGTAATTTCGTTTTTGGAAGAGAAATAGTAGCTCCTAATGGTGAAAAGAGAAATGGGGGTATGTTTCAGCTTGGGGAAAACAACAGCATCTTTGATGACTGTACTTGAACTTGTGGTGTTGTAGGTTCAAGAAATGGTTGAAGAAATGCAAAGTGAAAATGGCAAAATGAAATCACAGTCATTGTTAACATTTAGGGGATGTCTAAATGTCTTTGAAAAACTAAGAACTTTCTGTGTTCAACGAAGTTAAGGAAAATGAATCGCTATCTGTTACAAATGTTGTAAATTTATTGTTTGCGCTAAGAAAAAGAAAGAGTGTTCAAACTAAAATTTCCTAATTTTTTAAATAAACTTTTCTTTTTATTTTAAATTTATTAATTTTATAGTCCATTGCTTCAATATTTTTGCACTAGTCCCCTGAGAAACAATTGATCCAGGTGCTATTGTTTAACTATACTACATTCATTTGTTTTGACATCATATGATACATTAATCTCTATCCTTTGTTTTGAAGTATTAATCTCAATGAATGAAGATATTAAATGCCAATCTTTCAGTTTTTAGAGTTGAAGACAATTCTAATTGCATTCAGGAATAAACTTTCAGTGACAACCTTGGAAAACCTATTCTTAGCATATTAAAATGACAATTTTCCTAAAGCTCAGATGTAAGAAATTCAAATAGGTTTTAAGTATTCGTAGATTTTTCTGTTTAGAAAGTTGCAGATAAGAATTAAAGGCAGTGCATAGTTTTTATTTCCTCACACTCACAAAAAGCAATAAATGAACTTATTGATTCAAATTAATTAAAATGTCACAACCATTATCCCCTCCGCCCTCCAATTGCGACATTTTATATTCAGAGACTGCAAAACTTGTTACTATCATGTTTCTTCGGACAGAAAATAAAATAAATTGTGTATTCAAACATTAATATTTTGTTCTTTTTTCTTCTTTCCAACTTTAGGACACTGAATTTGCTTTGGTTGAGCTCTTAACTCAAAAAGCCTCCTACAAGGATGCTAATGATGTATGCCAGATCGGCAGTTTCGATGTTGGCCTTCTCATTAACCTTAACACTTCAGAACCAGTACCTGACCCTAGCTCATTAGTCCTCAATTTCTACATCATACTCACAAGTCAGAGGGATCTGTATCCGAAGTTATCCAATCTGCAAGCAGCATTTCACGGCTCATTCCAGACCGTAAGGTTTGGCTCTGCTTTAACGTCCAGTGGAATTTTGTCTAGAAAAGTCAGTTATGCATCGATAGCGAATGAGAAAGACAAGTTTGATTCCAGTGGGGAAGAATCCATTTGCTCCACCAGTTCTAGGTAATTTATAGCTACTTGTAATGAAACTTAAAAATTAATGATTTGTATGGTTAATTTATACATACCTGCTATGGTGGGAAGTTCTGTAATACATTTAATGTTAAAAAGACGGATTAGGCTAATTTGGCTCCTCTCATTTTTTGTTGCTCTGTAATTCAAAAAATGACTCACTCAAAGTGTTGAGTATTTCTGACTTTTTGTAATATGATCCAATTTAAGTGCTTATTTAATCATTCATTTGATAGCTTTTTAGAAACGTATACATAGAACCTTATACCTAGAATGATGGGAGAGGCCAGGTTAGCCCCTTAAATATTTAGATAGGTATTTCATAACCCCAGGTAGTTTTGGTTATAGAGTACTCTTTGGTGTGTGTATATATATATATACAGTAGGGGACTGATTATCCGGAACGATCGGGACCATCGCTATTCCGGATAACTGATTTTTCCAGTTTTCTGAATCTCTGCAAAAAGCCGTTTTTTTTACTGTTAAATCCAACTAAAAAAAGCAATATTAGGAAATAAACTTAAAAAGAAGAAAAAACGATGATGTAATACGCTAATGATTATATCCAAAATGATGGTAAGGTAAACATCTTTCAAAAACGAACGAAAAATCCTAAAATCTTATGAGGAAAAATTTTTTTTTTTTTTTTTAAAGGTGGGAAAATGTATCGAATTTTGTTCCGGTTTTTTGGTTTTCCGGCTTTCTGATTTCCGGATAACAGGTTCTGTACTGTATATATATATATTATTAATTAACGGAAAATTACTTTTATGGGGNTGTAATTTTTAGAACAATGAACCCTTTAGTATATATAAGGTACCCCAGTTTCATTAAAAAAAAATATTTCAAGATGTTTATAATTATTATTTATAGAGAATACGAAAATCAATTATCTGGGAAATAAATGTATATGTATAATTGAAAGGCCCTAGTTCAATTTAATAAAATATTTTTGTTAACCGAATTAAATAAAATACTATGGAATTTTGATGATCAAGTCTATAATATGTTTTTGTTCAATTAATTATGATTATATTTTAAGATTTTGTATGCATGATTGATCTATAGACAAACAATCAAGGAAGGACCAAACTCGCCCATTGGTTCTTCTAGGTATACGTCAATTTTCAGTCTTTCTAGTGTTAACCTGCCCAGCTTAGAGCTTCTGAGCCAAATTTCGCTAAAATCTTCCTTTTACACAAAATTTCTCTATTTAATATTGTGATGAAACATTTTGATCTTTAAGTAATAGCATCAATCACATGTATATGAAAATTTCCTTCTCTCTGTTCTCATTTACCAGGTATAAAAGTACATAAGATCACCAATAAAATAAAATCTAGAAAAAATTTTATTATTTTATGAATATGAAAATTCACATAAATTGTTCAATCACAGTTGTGTTTCACCTTACAAATTGACCAAATATAATGAAGCTAAGTGGCAATATTTTTTCTATCCATAATTTGTTGTGTGCGGGTGAGCAGAGGAAATGAGCCTCCTAGCATAAAAAAAGAATTGTTTATTACTTTTTTTTCCAAAACTTTATGTCAAAATCACAAATACATCAAACCTTTATATACTCCAGATTTGAAAAGACTTATTGATAAAATAAAGTTTTAGTTTTGATAATGAGTTCAGTTGTGCCATTGCATTATTTTTTATTTAATTTTTTTTTATATGAAAATATTTATTCAATAGAATAAATATTATACTTAAAACCAAAATCTTGAATAGGTCAAAGAAGACATCAGTTCGTAGCATGTGTGATGAAGATGTAATGTATCTAGGATACTACAGCAGCCAAGAAACGATGATGCAGCAAGTAATAAACCAACAAGCAGCAGCAACTCGAGATCATCTTGAAGCTGTTGTCAAGAGAGCTTCTGTCCACTGTCGAAGAGATCATTTATGGAGTTTTCTTTTGCTCAGATCGCTCAAAGAGGAAAACAACAGTAAAGATGTAAGCAAGTCTTTTAATCATGATTTATTAATTCATATTAATCATGGTTTATTAATTAATTCATGATTAATCATAATTTATTATCTGTGTCTCCTGGCAAAATGATTTCTGATTTTTAACTTTTATCTATCAATTTTTTTTTATTTTCAACTAATTAACCCTTTGTGAAGTAAATCTTTTCAAGAATAATAAGCTGGGGACTTTAACTAAAAACTACTCTCTGCCCTGATAACATATAAGTTAAAATTCTGCAAAATATAGAAGTTAAAATTCTGACATACAAGTTAACATACTCATTGACATATAAGTTAAAATTCTGCAAAATTTTACTCACAGTCAAAATGTGGATGAAATGACAGTAAAGATGTAAGCAAGTCTTTTTTTTTTCATGATTTATTAACTGACTTTTGTGTCTCGTCTCAAAATGATCCATGATTTTTAACTTATATTTGCCATTTTTTAAAATTTTCCCCTAATTAACCCTTTGTGATGCAGTAAATCTTTTCAGGGATAATAAGCTGGTAACTTTAACAAACAACTACTTTCTGCCCTGGTATTCTAACATATAAGTAAAAATTCTGTAAAATTTCACCTGTAGTCAAAATGTGGATGAGATTACAGTAAAGTTGAAAGCAAATCTTTTTTAACCATTATGTATTAATTAACTTGATTTGTGACTTGTGGCAAATATGATCATTTGTAATGGTCTATTATTTTTAACCTATGTATGCCTTATTTTATTTTATTTTCCGCTAATTAACTCTCTGTTGCTGTAGTAAATCTTGTTATGAATAATAAACTGATGACTTAAACAAAAAACTACTTCTTCCTGTGATATTCTATGTATTCTAACATCTAAGTAAAAATTTTGTGAAATTTCTTCTGTGGTCAAAATGCTTGATGAGATTATAGTCTAGATAAAAATATCTATCTCTATAACTATCTTTATTCCTATGTATAAAATTGAAAAAAAGGGTTGAATCTGTATCGATAGATAAGAAATTATAGATTCTATGAAGGGATTGTAGTCTAGATAAAAATATCTATCTCTATAAATATCTTTATTCATATATGTAGAATAAAAAAAAAGAGAGTTGAACCTGCACCTATAGACAAGAAGTTGTCGATTCTGTTTAGAACTCTTATATAGATTTTTGCCTTTTTTTTAATGTTTGAAGCGATTGTAGTCTAGATAAAAATATCTATCTCTATTACTATTTTTATAACTATATATAGAATCTATATAAGAGTTGGAGGTAAGAAACTTAGTTGAAAAAACATTAAACAATTATGTTTTTTTAGTAGGGAGAATGACTTTTTTTTATGGGTTTTTTAGTTCAATGAATCCAAACTTTCAACTTTCCTATAATTTTAAATTTTGAATTGAATTCTTAATTTCTTTTCTTTTTTTGAAAAGGGATATTCCCAAATGGTGTGTAAACAATGTGCGCACAACTCTATATAAATTGCGATTTGAAGAACATCAGATTGTGAAGAATTTTAGAAAGTTTTAATTTAAATTATTTTTGTAAAATATATAATGTTTTAAAAATTTCATTTTAATTTATTTAAATTCACTCATTGTGAATTATTTTTTTCCAGAATTCTAAGAAAATGCCATTGCAAACAATTATAAACAAATTAAATTATTTTTGTATTGACTGTAAAACTACATTGAAATTTTCTTTTTCATTAATTTGAAATGTAAAAGAGCATTTTATAATGCCACTATTTACGCTCTAAAAGGTTTTAATATGAAATTGCTGGGAAATTTTTTCTGGAGTATCTATGGACATTTAAAGAAACTTAAACATTTGATAATTTCATAACAAACTTTTATTTTGCTAAGGCAAAAATAGTTGCATAAATATTAAAAAACATTTTAATGTATCTTTATTGTAAAGAAGTTAATCATAAAATCTTGAGACTCTGCAATAAAAGCTCTTTTAGTTCTGTAGTATATTGCAACACTTAATATCAAAAAATAAATGTAAGGAAAAATCTTGTTTTAGACTTATTTTAATCTTATAAATATACATGAAAATTACTCACAGCTATTTTACATCTTCTTTAATATTATCAGAATAAAATTTCTTTTTCAAAAGCTTTATTTCACTGATATTTTAATAATTTCACCGAAATTCGAATTTTTGAATAAGCAAAGTATCTTAATAGGAAAATGGTGAATCAGAAATTTAATACGAATAAACAGGATGTCAATATACTTAAAAGAGAACTTTCTTTAGGACCTTACTCTAGCATTTTCTCACAAATATTATCCATCATTGAATATGCGCATTATGTTCTGTTTCTGGTGCAAAGTGTTATTTTCCCATATAATTATTTAACTGAATTCGATTTCCAAACTTAAGTAGTATTCATAGAGTATTTTTTGTTTTGATTTCAGCATGGCGTACCTACTGGATCCTTTTCTGAGTTTGCAGAGCTCTTGGGATTGGTGACGATTATTCCTTTAAATGATTACGATGAAAAACTAACTCCTTTCATGAATATGCATATATCATGGTATACCACTTTAGCACCTGTTCTAATGTCAAAGTATGCCGATAACCATAGGCAATTTTTATCATCTGACGGTAGCTCTATGTATGTTGTAAGTATATAATTATACTTAAATATTAAAGTGTAAGATTTCTTTGTTATCTAGAACTTTAAATATATTTAGCTATCTTGTAGCTGTAAGCCTATTTTTTCAATTTAAAACTCCAAAAATCTTTGTGAATAATTTATAATTAATTATAAATCAAAGTTTTTAATTTTAAACTTTATTGTATTATTTTTTATTTTCAA